GCCTATTTGTAGGCCCCGGCCCGGCCCGGCCCGGCCCGGCCCGGCCCCCGCCCCCGCAGGGCCGTCTTAAGGAAGCGTCAGCGGCCGGCCGCCTTCTTAAGGAGGCGCCCCGGCGGCACGCCCTCGCTGCACGGCCCCGGTCTCCCGCGCGGCGGGAGCGCGGCCGGTCGTGCGCGCGGCGCGGCGCGGCGCGCCTCCGCGGCCAGATCCCTCGCCGGATTGCCCGCGCGCGGGGGTGTTCCTGGGGAGAAGTGCGCTCTGCCCATGTCCGGTGTGCTTTCCGTCCTTGCTCGAGACGGGGCAGAAGGCTTGGTGCAAAGGCCCGTCCTTTCATTTCCCTTCATTGCTGACAATTCCATGCTGCTAATCTCCAAATCTCTCTGCGTGGCTTCAATTAGGCCGCAAATGTTTGCAAATAATTACGAAGATTAAAACCTCTTCAAGGAGCAAGGGAGCGGTGTGTGCAAAATCGTTCAAACAAGAAGAAGGCAAGTCCTGATTCAAAACTCATCCTGTGTCGCCCAATGCAGGTGAGTTGGGCTTCACCTGGTGTGGAGTAAACGAAGTCTGGGCCGGGCGCTTGGCACACGTATGTTTTTTTGTTACATGTGGTTTATCAAAAACTTGAAAGGGTGATCGGTTAGTTCCTTTGTCATGGGTGGGCTCTGTACGCTCCCTTAGAACAGTCCTCTGCTTTGAAGGTGTCCTCCAGTGGAAGGACTGGAGGACTTCCCAGCCACCAAATCTGGTCTGAAGAACAAGAACCATCTGAAGGGACCAGAGTCCGGGCCTTGAAATCTGCTCCACAGGCGCACCTGCATCTGGACAACACTGTCTTCACTGTGATGAGACATTCATTTTTTCTACGTTTGCACTGATATGTGAAAATAAGGGGATGCAGACTTCATCCAAATTAGCACCTGCTTTTTGGTTGATGCTCTGTAGCTACAGAGCAATGCGCTTCCAGAATGGAAAACCAATGTACATATTTTGGGGCAGGGCAGCCAGATGTGTGGGACAGCAGGGAATGGAGCAGAAGGGCAGCTGGCTGCACCCCACGCTTTGCAAGCAGAGGGTCCTGGCTTTAAGGTTTCAGCCCCCCCGGGGGTGCAGGGAGAGGCTGCGAAAGATCCCCTGCCAGTAACCTTTGAGAACCCGTCAGTGCCGGGGCCAAGCAGCCTGGTGCTTTTCTTCCCCTGATGTAAACACTCGATACAATGTCAAGGCTGCAGTCCTCTGGAATCTGGCTTGGGAGTCACCCCACTGAACTGGGTAGGCCTGGTAAACATGCATCAGGTCAGGGAGTACATCTGGAACTGGGTTGCTTGGGTTGCCAGCACTCTTTTCCGTCAAAGCTGCGAGACAAGCAGGTGAAATTCAACCCATGTCTTTTTTTACCAGCTTGCACATGCAGGGATGGGGACACTTTCATCCCGGAGGATTTCTGCCTGGGCTACAGTTGTGCAAGGCCCCCATCTTCCCCCAGACGGGGCCCCACATTTAGGACTATGAGTCCTAACAGCCTTAGCCAGTGAGCCCCTGTTTGGGGATGATAATCCAAGCCACCCGGACAGCGGGATGTGCCACCAGGAACCCACTTCGTCTCCCAAACGGCTCCTTCCCCCATTTTCACTGTTCTGTGGGGCCTCTCCTACCCAACTAAGGGGGCAGCTTTCTTGTCTTGGGCCTCCCCTTTTACTGGTCTGCCGGTGAGTCTGCCCTGGGCATCAAGCTGCAGTGGCCGGAGGGTGACGGCCCTCGTTCCATCAGGGGCCCGAGTTGCATTTTGAAGAAGGCCGCAGGGTGGGGCATTCCAGTGGAAGGTGGGGCTGGAAGGAAACGTGTGGGGCAAAAGCAGCGGGACCAAGCAGAACAGCCAGATTCAGCTGAAGAGTGCGTCCGAGGCGTGGCTGGAAAGAAACCGCGGGAACGTGCTGGCAGTTGTAGGAGCTGGCTTCTCTCTAGCCAAGGCTACACTCTTCCCCTGGCAGCACCAGCGGGAGAGCGGAGAATGCAGAGGAATCAGATTTGAGTCCCGACTGGCCCAGCTCTGCTCCCAGGCTCCAAGGTTTGGCATCCTTGTTCAAAGGGACGCCTGGCTTTGCTTTGGTACAGTTTCCCCGTCTGTTTTAGCTTTGCTTTAATTATTCAGGCGTTTTAGGCCATTTGTCATTTAAAAAAAGAGTAAAAGACATTAATGTTAGGAAGAACTATAAATGTCAGTGGTTCAGTGCAGGACTCATGCCGCATTTGATCCCCATTAATGCTTTGTCAGCCAAAGCCAAGGTGGAAAAGTTGGTGTTGGATGGAAATGGCTCTCTTCAAATGATGCACCCAGCAGCAGCACACGAGATGCAAGCCTGGTTCAGTAGGTTTTTCAGGACTACGCACTTCCCGGCTTCCCCACCACAACTAGATTTTGGTTGGTGTTTAGAAAGGTTTTACTCATCAAGAGCTCTTGGCAATGAGATAGTTCTTTATTCTTTTCGGTGACAGGAAGACCTTATTTTCCCAATATTTTAACAGTTAATTGGTTTTATCTTTGATTTTATTATTATGTATTGGATGCAGTGTGTTGCATGTGGTTGTTTTGTTTTTTGTAAGCCACCCAGAGACTTTAGTGTTGGACAGCATATAAAAACTTGAAAAAATAATAAATGGTTCTACATTTAAATAAGTCAATGAAACATGCTAGAGATGTGCCATCAAATATGTGGCAGATTACATGTGAATGGCTCGGCAAAATTCTGCCTGCCAGCAAGATGTCAGTGTAGGTCCACCCCCATCAAAGGGCTGTTCCATTGTCCTGCCTGAGGCTTCCTGGTCTTTCCTTTCCTACGATCCTTTCAGTTCACCTCTCCTGCAGGGAAAGCCCCTTCCCTCCAGCCATCCTGCCACAGACAGACCTTGCTTTTGCTTCTGTTTGTTCCCAGGCCCTGGGGAGGTTTCCCCCCTAATTTTGTGCCTTTTCACAGGATCTTCATTCCATTCCATCAGACTCAGCAGTTAAGACTGTCCTTAAGCATCCTGTGATGTCACAATGCTCTGTGTGAGTTTTGCATTCTAATTGTTATTGCAAATAGCCTACAGATTATTATCCTCTGTATTGGGTGCTTCCTGTTTGGCTGAACAATCAGCAATTCAGCACAAGCAATCGAGAGCATGTGTGCTTAGTGGAAGGATCGATCGCTAGAGTTTTGTGGTGTATTTGTCACAGTGTGTTCATTATACGGATGCCTTGCTTTGCTCCTGCAAAGAACAGGAGGAAGCGCATGGCTTTCTCCCCTGCATCTGATTATTTATTTATTTATTTATTTATTAGCTTTATATCCCACTTTTTCTTCTTCTTCTTTATTTATTTAAGATATTTGTATGCCGTCCTTTACAAGAGCCTCAGGACGGCTTACACAAATAAAATACAAATACCTAACATAACATAAATTAACAACTCACTCTGGCTGCAATTAAAATATGGTGATAAAATTCAATATTAAAACTTATTAAAATATTGATTAAATAAAAAGGTCTTAACCTGGCGCCGAAAAACATATAATGATGGTGCCAGGCGGACCTCTCCGGACCTTTCCTTACTCAAAGCAGCTTACATCATTCTCCTTTGGCTGCTCTCAGTCTTATCCCCAGAAAAACAACCCTGTGAGGTAGGCTGGGCTGGACTGGCCCAAAGTCACCCAGCTGACTCCATGACCCAGCAAGAACTTGAACCCAGATCACCTGAGTCCCAGTGTGGCTCTGTAAACCACTGCAGCATGTGGACACCACAACCTGTTAATGTGTGATTGCACAGGTGGAGGCATGGGTCTAGGGCAGGGGTCTCAAACTCGCGGCCCACGGGCCAATTGCTGGGTGGGGCGGGGCACGGGGAGGGGCCCTGTGGCCTTCCAAGCGCTGGCGGTGCCCGGGCCGGCCTCCGGGAGCCACGCGGGATGAGCGGCCCACCACCACCGCGGAGGTGGAGTGCTTGATGCGGCCCAGCCTCACCCAGACTCCACTTCCAGCGGCCCCCAGGTAGGTTGAGTTTGAGACCCCTGGTCTAGGGCATGGGTCCTCAAACTACGGCCCACCATGCCCATTTATCCAGCCCACCTCAGAGGTTTTGGACGTGCGCACCCGCGCTCGGGGAGGCAGCGGCTTGCTTGCGTGGAGATCGTTTTGGACTCGCTTGGAGAAAGTGATCTCCAAGTGAGCAAGCAGCTGCCTTGCGCTGCGTGCCCGCCCCCACTTCGCCTCGCCTCCCCTCCCCTCGCACCGCGCACCCACCCGCACCTCGCCTCACCTCGCCTCGCTGCGCCCATGCGCCATGTGCACTGCCGGCACCACCTGCCTGTGCCCAGCACTGGCCCCTTCCAACTGGCCCCCTGGTGAAACAGTCTGAGGAGCCCTGGCTTAGGGGAACACAAGTGGGAGCAGGTGTGAAGGAGAGCGAGAGTTTCCTCTAGTCATCATGAAGAGGGAATTTCCACAAGGTTCAGGCTGTCTCACTCCTGCAGGACAAGCTTTGCTTCCCAAAATGCATGACTGCTCGGCTGCTGGATCCTTCCCCCTTTTGGGAGATGGTCACTCCAGTTGCCAAGGTCTGTACCAGCTGAAGGTAGTGCACAGTTTAAATCCAGAACTGAATTCTGATGACCTGAAATATTTGCTGCCCAGAGACATTGTCAAGGGTGGGAGACAATATTTTTAAATAAAATTGCATTTTTGACCAATATTCTCTCTGTATGATCTGGTCACTAACTTATTCTGTCCTTGATGAAGAGTTCTGTATAATTCAAGAACTTGCATATGCTTTCCCCAGAGAACAAAGCATTTAGAAGATAACTACCTTGTTCATTGTCTCTGATTTTTGTAAAGGATGGAGCCACACGCTGCGGAAAGAGGTTCAGAGTGCTAAGAACTCTGCCCACGTTACCATGTTTGGTCCCAGTTTGGTTTCTGTGCAAAAGCTCATGCGTGGGCAGAAATAACAAGCTGGGGAAATTTTCTTTTGTTTAACCTCAGTGCAAAGAGAACACAGGAGCCGGACCAGCTAAAAAAGCAAATGGCAACACCAAGTGAACTCGATTTAAGAAAGCAACTTTCCCAGCCCTTTCAATGCAGTCCTGCCCGGGTTTACACACAAAGAGGTTCTACAGTTCCCAGAAGGTCCAGAATAGCAAGTGAAAATGCATGTTGTTATTTCCATGTTACATGTATATCCTGCCCTTTTTCTGCTTGTGAGGAACCCAAGCTGACTAACAACAATCCATTTTATCCTCACAACAACCCTGCAAGGTAGGTTGGGCTGAGAGTCTGTGACTGGCCAAATCAGCCAGTGAGTTTCATGGCCAAGTGAGGACTAGAACCCAGATCACGTGCTCTTAACCACTACGCACACAATGTCTAACTCTTGTTGGAAAACATATAAACATTAACACAAAATAGCTTCTTTCTTAGTTTCAGTATTTTCTGCAAAATGTAAGTATTAATTGCTTCTCTTTGACCAGGTCCTTGTGCAGCTCAGCTGGCCAGGTTTTGAACTGCTTGTTAGATTTCTGGTCCATCGCAGTTTAGGTGCATTTTCTCCTTGTGTGTCGAGGCAGTTCCAGCACCAGGCTCTTGGAGCAGTTTGCATAAAATTGGGATTCTAATAACCGACGAGTACATTGCTCCCGCCAGCAGTTGTCTGCTCGGTGCTGTTCTGAGCGACAGATTTCTCTTGGTTCTGTGCCACTGAATCTCACAGTTTCCTCCAAAGAGAGCTGAGAATCCGAATCCGCTGCAAATTCTCTTTCCGCTCCCTACTCTCTGGGAACTTATTTTTCCACTGCTAGGCTTTCCTGGGAGAAGAATGGCTCTCTAAAACGAGGGCTGAGTCTGCAGTATAAATGTGCTCAGACTGGACAGTGATTTCATATGTAAAGTCCTGGTCTTCGCATCTTCCTTTGCAGGCTTTTGCTCTGGGTTTGGAGCGCTCGGTGCAGAGAGGGCAGCGTGTCCCCTGGAAAGCATTGATTACTGGCTTGGCGTTGTGGCAGCAAAGCAACAGCAGTGTCCATCTTGTCCCTTGCCTGGGGAGCAATGCTAGGAAGGCTATAAATATCTTGCATTTATAGAGTGCCTTTCATGCCCTGCCCAAGATTGTTCTTAAAGCGTTGCAGATTGTGGCACAGAATGCACTGATGGCAGGGGAAGTGTATGGCTCCGTGCCCCAGTCAGTCAGTTTCTGGGGGAAGCACCACAGTTCTTTCCACAGCCCAGGAGGCACTACTGCCAAAGCCCCTGCGCAGGCCACTGCTGCCCGAAGTGCTACAGGGCAGGTCGAATTAATCTCAGCTCCGACACTGCGGTTAAGACAGCCTCTCACGTTAGGATTATTCTATTGCATTTACAGCCCACCCTTTTTCTTTTTGCAAGGAACCCAAGACAGCTTCCGTAGTCCTCCATTACCCTCACAACAACAACCCTGTGAGGCTGGGCTGGCCCAAAGCCACTCAGTGGCTGAGTGGGGACTTGAACCCGCATCTCCCATGCCCCAGTCCAGTAGCTTCACCAAAATGCTGGCTTTCCACATTATGCAAGTGTGGGAGAGCGAAGGCTACAGATGTTCTAGACGGGCAGGGGAGGGTGGAAATGACAGAGGCCAGGCTTTGATGTATATCTGGTGTCCTTCAATGCCTCCACCATGCTCCCTTCCAAAGTACTCCAACTACTCAAGATGCAGCTACTTTACACAACACCACCCTCTTCCGGGGCTTCTCCTGCACCCACCAAGCACTTCTGAACCTTTTTTTAGAGCAAGAAAAGTGAGGTATTACTTGGATGTTGCGCTGACACAAGAAAGCAGATTTTCTCTAATTCAGCACAGCACATGCTACAGCACAGCCTTGTGGTTATGTAATGGAGCATCTGGAAAGTCAGAGAAAAGAAACCCCAGGAAAAGGCGTGCTGAATTCTGCAGGTAATCATATATTTGGCAGTTTTCCCTTATTTGCATGTGGCTGTGGAATTTAGACTGCTTGGAACGCTGGTATGAAGTCTATAGAGGAATTCAAGGTATGAGAGAGAAATTCGACGTTCTTCCAGTCTGACAGTTAGGGAGACGGGGAATTGGAGGCTGAAATCTAAAACTGATCAGCCAGCACCTTACTTCCAGGAGGAACGATAGAAAGAAGTGCAAAAGTATAAAATAGGCCCCATGGTTAAGAAGGCTGGTGTAGATTATCATAAGCTGATAAGTCCCTCAAGGACCAGCTGTTCTCATTTTCCTCTTTCTTTATTCTCTTCTGCATCTTCCTGTCCTCCCTTGAAGCTGTAGGGAGATGTCAGCACTGTGGAAGTAAGGAAGGGAGGCAAAAGGAGAAGGTCTCACAGTTTTCTCCAGCCCGGTGCCTTTAAACTCCTGTCTTCCCAATTAGCAACGATGTGAGTTCAACGCATCTGGAGAGCACCAGGTTGGAGAAGGCCAGCCTGAGATGGTTGCTTGGTTACATTGAAATCCTTCCTCCAGGTTGCTCAGGGAAGCTGGCACAGGCTGGGTTCACATGACGAGATGACCCAGAGTATATATCAGGTTTCATGGAACTTCTGCTGCAATGACTTAACAGTTTTGGTGGAGTGACTTAGCTGCAGTGGGACTGTACTGCACTTTTCTTGTGTCAGCAGAGATGTTTGGAGAAAGACGGCTTGCCATAAGAAAACTAAGAGCCACAGAATGAAAGCTGACACCAAAACATCACAAGGCGCTGATTTATGAACAGAGTGAGGAGATGCATATACTTGTTCTTTTTAATATACTGGGCTGGGCTTCCAGGAGGGACGGGCACCTTCACACATTCTCCATAGGAAATTCTAGGGAGACAGGATCTTCAAGGAGGGGGCAGGGGAGTCACTGGAATCCCCTCTTCTCTTCAACAGGTGGAAGCATTCCGATAGTTGAACTCAGTTCAGGACTCACTCCTGCCACTGGGAGTCAACTCAGGATCATGCCTAGCAATGTTCTGGGGCACCCTTTGGGAGCAGCTGAACCCTGATCCATGACAACTGCTTTGAAATGACTGGGATATGAGCAGAGTGGGGGCTTGCACAGGAGAGAATGCCTGATGGATCGGCCTCATGTTAATTGTAGGGTACTGTGGGCTCATTTAGTCCAAGCACGAGAAGGACTTGGGCTCAGCCATAAATATAAAGGCGACTAGAACGCAAATGGCTCCTGCCGCGATCTTACCGAGTTGCTAATGCAGCCAATCTGTTGAGACAACCGTGAGCCGGCTGCAAGGGCAACGCTGTCATTAGTCTATGCCCACATATCATTAGGGGCAATTCCCTCCCCAGGAATGGATGCCGGGCCAGGCTTAATAAGGCAGGAGTGGTGCAGTGGTCAGCTTGGAAGTGCACACTCTCACACCCAAGCTCAGAAAATGCTGGGTTAGTTCACTTCTCTCACTGTCGTTCCATTTTCTCGGGAAAACCCCTTTCCTCCTGACTGTAGATTGAAACTAAGCCAGGAGGCGACGCCACTGTCCTTGCCACTAAAGATACGGCAAGGAGGTGCGCATGGCTCTGAGGCAGAAGCCCCGTTGAAAGCACCTGGGTCAGGACGGGAAGCAGAGGCAGGAGCTGTGTTGTTGCGGTCATTTCTGCAGACCATGCAGGCGGCTGGAAGAGCGCGGCGGGGGGGGGGTGCTTTCAAGGACAAAGGATAAAGCGTCTTGTTCCAATTCTATTGTTCAGAAGGAAGGAATGCAGAATACAGGAGTCACGGCACAACTGGGTAAGCTCACTGGGTGACTTTAGGCCAGTCACTAGCTCTCAGCTTTACCTCTTTTATAGGGTGTTGTTGTGAGGATAAAATGGAGCAGAGGTAGAAGTAAGAAAGGCAGGTATAAATGTAATATAATAACGTGTGCATAGGACTGCCATCTAGATGGCCAGATTGCTTCGGCCTTCAACACGCAAGCCAATGGAGTAATAATGCACTGCTCTGAGTTTGACTGGAAAGAACAGCGCTTCTCTGTGTGTTAAAATCGCTCCCGTTTTAAAAACGAAATACATGTTGAAATAATTTCAGCCAAGTCGCTGAAGTTGAGACTGCGATCCTATGCATTACTGTTTGCGAGTAAAGTCCCCTTCCTCCCAAGGAGAGCTGCAGAGGATCGGGGCCGCGTGCAAATAACTTGAATTGCAAGTCGGACCTTCCATGATGTCCCACCCACGCCCGTCCCCGAGACGTTTCGTCTTCTGGCCCCGGAACGACCGCGAGCCACGTTTCGCCGCTCATCTGCGACGAGAAAATAGGCTCCTGTTCCTTTAAGGCGGTGGGCGCAGCCGCGAACTACATTTCCCAGAAGCGTTCAGCGGAAGGAGCCTTCCCTGGCCTTGGCGACTTGCGTCTCCCGCGCCCGCCTTAGTGGGCCGCCGTGGCGATCAGCCAATCAGAGCTCGCGCGGGACGCGGAAGTGGGCGGGGCTCGAGGTGCGGGCCAATGGAAGCCGCGTCCGCGGCAGTCTCGGGGCGCTGGGCTGCACTGGAACGCTCCGCAGGGCCGGCGGAGAGGAAGATGGTGGCGGCCTTTCCCCGGCGGGGCTGCTGGAGCGGAGCGGAGCTCTGCGCGGTGCTACTGCTCCTGCTCGCCCTTTGCGGGGCCCGGGCCGAGCAGATGGAGGAGCACCTGAAGCGGGAGCACTCGCTCGCCAAGCCCTACCAGGGTGAGTGCGAGGCGGCGGGAGGGGCCCCGCCTGCGCCTGACTTCTAGGTAGCAGGCAGAAACCCATCAGGTGAAGCTTCTCCTAGCCTTGGACCGTGGTGGCTGCTGGGAAGAGCTGTGTCTGTTGGGCTGCCCGCCTGCTTTGGATCAGGAGTTGCGAGGGCTGTCCCCGGTATGCAGAGAGGGGAGGACGGCGGGCGCTACCGGTTAGATCTCCGGCTGCTGCCAAATGATTGGCACTGTCTGAATAGCCGCATCCGCGAAGTATTGCGTCTGGATGTTGGAAAAGCTTCACCTGCCGGGCTGCCGTCATGCAGGTGTTACAAATGTAGGGGCCCTGCTGGAAGATGGGGGATCTTTAGGCTTGTCTTGGCGCACCGGTGGCCCATCGAATGCAAAGAGAGAATTAGCTGCTTGTTGGCAACGCCCTGCGTAGTGGCATGCCAGGCAGAAATCCAACTGGTGAAGCCCTGCTTTGCAAGATGTGCAGTGTTGACGAATAGCTGTTGCATTTCAGCCAGCACAATTCTGGAAAGCACAGGCTGGCTGAGGAGCCAGGTGGAAATGAGGGACATGAGCACCGGTGCATGTGCTCATGAGTAGTTTTAAAGGTGGAGGAAAGCAGGGCGACCAGTGTGTGTGAAATTATCTGAAAGGCTAGTGGCTGGCATGGAAAGAGGTTGCAATGAAAGTGGTGAGGGTGAACACATCCGACAGTTACAACTGGCAAAATGTGTTTCGGGGGTTGGCATGTAGGAGGCCGGGGTTTTATCCTAGCATGGTTGGGTCAGGGGTTCTAGCTTATGCCGCACCTGTTTGCTGAGGCTCTGGTTGCCTCAGTTCTCCCAGAGTGTCCCTCAGGGGCGGGCGCCATGTTGGAGAAGGCCATGCTTGGATGTGGGGGATATGCTGAGCTGGCTTTAACTTTAGAAATAACTTGCTTTAAATATTCCTGCTTTTCAGGTGTAGGATCATCTACCTCCTCTTTGTGGGAGCTCATGGGCAACGCCATGGTGATGACGCACTTTATCCGCCTGACCCCGGATGTTCAGAGCAAGCAGGGTGCTGTCTGGAACAGGGTGGTAAGGGTGACGCTTCTCTCGAATTGCCCCTGGGTGGGCTCTGGGGCTCCCCTGCAGCAGCAATGACCGGCTTGCAGTGTTTAACGCTGACCTGTCTGAAACTAATGCGGGGCAGGGCGAGGCAATACGACAGTGAAATTCCTCCGAGAACGAAAGCTTTTGCAGAATGTCTCATGTGCAGGGAAACAGACCTGTTGCCTTAGCAGACAGAAACAGTTAGCAGTCCCTGTAGGGTTCTGAAGTGTATGCACTTGGCTTTTCTGGCAGTGTCTGTTTTTCTTGGTAAAAGGGGCTCCACATTTGCTGAAATAAGTCATTCTCAGCAGTTTCAGATTCAGCACTGGGAACTTGGGCTCTTGCAATCCCTCCATTACTTGCCAGTACCAACCCATGTCTTGCATAAGAGGGTTCGTGACATTGCTTGCAGAGGGTGTGTGTTTCAAGGTCTGCATATTTGTTGAGGACACGCACAGGCTGGAGTTCAAATGAAGTTGCTCTGTTTGTATGCACCAGAAGAGAAATGGGCAGAGTTAATAGTCTCCCTGAACTGAAATGTTAAATGTTGACTGATTGCTTTCTAACCTCAGCTTCAAAGCTAAAATTTCATGGACTTTGGATCTGTGATGCCCACTGGCCGGTCAACACAGTCTCCCAGGGGGATGTATGGGAGGGTTAGGCATCACACGCCGTGGGCCAGACTGGGCTCTCTGCAGCATGGAACTTGCCTTTTACAGAAGAGATGTCAGTAGCTTGGTGAAGCTGCTTGTTACTTCTGTCATCCCTGTTACTCCCCCACTCCATCTCTTTTTTGCAAATATTTGTGAAAACACTTTAAGTTTGTTGCCTCTCCAAAGCACTTGCAAATAACTGCAGTTATATGGGAGTGAGTGGGGAACCTGGCGTGGGTAATAGCTGGGGGAGTTCCCCCTGGGGGCTGCCCATCCTACTCTGGGAACAATTCCCCTATTTTCATGCATCTGATCGGTATCAAACTGGCCCTGTCAAGCATATCAAAGACCCAGAGAAAGCATTGCTTGCAAAGGGAGGGCAAGATCCCTGGCTTTCAAAGGAATATTTTGCGTGTCCCAGACGTTCTTTATATCTTGTGGCCGTTCTTGCGGTGCTTTCATCCTAGGAACATGTTGAGGCAGGGGCAGTTCCCTGGTTTGGGGTGTTAGACCTTCACTGGGACACTTTGCTAAGCCGACAGGAGATGTGGGATGTTTGGTTCCCTCGCACAGCCTGAGGATCCCCTGCAAATGGGGCGTCCAAGGATCTTTCAAATGCCTCCTCTTTTTTAAAGTGGGATCTGCAGGGCAAAACATTTTGCGAAGTGTCTTTGTGGGAGGGCCCTGGACTGCTTGGGGACATGCAGAGCTTCTACGGTTCCCATTTACAGGGCAGATTCTTTTCTGGGAGATCAGGTGTTGAGTCAGATGGGAAAAAAGCCCATTGTGGGGAAATAACCCCAGCTACAAGCCATGGGTTTTTAGGCTGACTTGGAACCCAAACTTGCATCATCTCAAAAATCCCAGCATGACTTTGCGTGAGATGCTCACCCACTGTAGTCTATCGTGCCACAGGATTCAGTCTAAATGCCTGGGCCTGAACCCTGCCTAGTTCAGTTTTTTCCTTTCCTGAGCCCCAACAAATCTCTTAGGCCACCCGAATGCATCTTTGGGTGTACCAGGCTGGAGTGGCATGCTTTTTCTGCACCCTGGTGGCTGAAGGCCCAGTGCTGGCCAGCTGCCCTGTAAAAGGTTTGACCAGGCATTTTGTGGTGAAGTGGGAAGCAGGCCTGCCCCTTGTGTGGAAGGGTGGAGGTTGTGTTGGTGGAGTTTAATGGCCAAGTAAAAGGTTAAGCTGATCCTAAAGGCCTCTTACCTGGGCAAGCTCATCCACAGAGATGGAGATCTTCACTCCACCCCTTTCCGTCAAGGCTGATGGTTTTGTTTTGATATCTTTGTACCACTCCTGTTGCTTAATGATGCCAGGTGGGAGTAATTACTCTCTATTTGGCCCTAAACATAGCTCAGCTGGCAGGGGAATCAGGAGGCCGCTGCCCGTGGCTGATGGGCTTTGGGAATGCTGGCACTTTCTATAGCTACTCCTTCGTGGGGTTGACCTTGTCTTTCTATAGGTGTGATGAAAGCAGCTGTGCAGCCTTCCTCCCAAATGCCCCCCCCCCCCGGTGGGAAACCTTGGGAGTTTTGGTCCGGCGCATAATGCGGGAGGCCACTGGGGAGCTGCTCCCACCATGCTAAGGGCCTAAAAGAAGCAAAGTGTGGCACAGAACTGGGCAAGCTCCTAGCCTGCCAGCTGCCGTTGTGTGTGGTGCCGGAACGGAGTTGGGACAGTGGGAACGGGAGGAGTGGCAGTCCGTGCCTGCCTGCAGGCCCTCCTGACACTAATCTGGTGCATTGACAGCTTGGAGGAAACAAGAAGCCCCCCCCCATTCCTCCCAGTTCCCCCCTTCTCTAAGGGGCCCATCGCTCTTGCTGGCCCTGCCCCTCAGAACCGGTGCGCTGCCTGCCTTTGGAGCCTAGTCTTTATGTGAGGCCTTTTGGGCCACTTCCATGTTCTGTTCTCTGCAGAGAACAGGTGTAAGAGAGGCAGTGTGGTGTAGTAGTTAAGAGCACGGGACTGGGACTCAGATGACCTGGGTTCTAGTCCCCGCTCGGCCATGGAGCCCACTGGGTGACTTTGGGCCAGTCACAGACTCTCAGCCCAACCTACCTCACAGGGTTGTTGTTGTTGGGATGAGATGGAGGAGGAGATGTAAGCTGCCTTGAGCCCTTTGTAGGAAAAAGGCAGGATAGAAATTGAATGAATGAATGAATGAATGAATGAATGGAAAAAAGCTGGTTCACCGCATTGCGCACCTTGTGTCCCACCTGGGCAGCTCATCTATGAATTTGCTGGTGCCGCAGCAAGGCAGAGGCAGCCTTCCTTTCGAGGAGGCCGTGTGCCGCACAGGGCCCAAGACTCAAAGGCTGCCTGCCCTGCCAAACGAAGCCAGCCGTATTTAACTGACACAGCCGCGGACTGTTCTCCCAGGGCGCTCTTCCTCAGCTTCCTTTACGTTAAACTCAGTACTGCCAGTTGCTTGGTGCTGGTGAATGCAGAGCCCTCTTGCTTTAAGGCCCCACCACATTTGCTGGCCTTTCCTGTTTTGTTCTTTCATGGAAGGGGCTGGGACAGACGCATCCCAGGTCCTGCATTTCCCCCTTTTTCACCCTCTACAGCCTTGTTACTTGCGGGACTGGGAGATGCAAGTGCACTTCAAAATCCACGGGCAAGGAAAGAAGAACCTGAATGGAGACGGCTTCGCCATGTGGTACACCAAGGACCGGATGCAGCCAGGTAAGAGGTGGCTCTGCCAGGCACCAGGCCGGTACTGGGCCCCCCGACACGTGCTGGCAGGCTGCAGGGAACCCCTTCGCTCTACCCTTTCCTATGTCCAGAAGGGCAGATCAGTTTGCTGCGGGTTGGAAGGTATGTCACGGGGCTCGCTGCAGCTTCTCCTTTGCCCGCGAGGAGAAGCAGTCCTTGGCTGCCTCTGCTTCGTGCGAAGTTGCTTCGGCCCTGACTGGCATGCCAGCGCTCTTTCTCCGCTTCCTGGTCTTTAGCCATCCTTGTGCCATCTCTCTCATGGGCTACTGCAGGCAGGCCCTGAGCAGCCAAAAATCTAGCATGGCGGCAACGTGTTCACTCATTGTTTAAGAACAGAAGTCCGATTTAGGGGAACTCTAAGCAGAGGAGGGTCACCTGTGTGCTTGAGGGCTCCTCCACTGTCCAGGCCAGGCAAGCCACTGGGGCCATCTGGGATGCTTTGGACTACAGTGACCATGCGCTCCAGGCCTGTAGTCCAAGATACCTGAAGGCATCGGGCTATTATTGCCCCTCTAGGTGGTGGGCAGGGCTTGAGGTGAGTGTTGCTGCCGTGTCTCCCTCCAGCCCTTTTGTGGTTCCTTGGCTTCCACCTGGTGGAAAATGTTCCACACTCACGGAGCACATGGCACTCGCTCGCAGCATTCCACACACAGATACATATCCCTGTCATATTCCAGTGGGATTACAGTGTGTGGATTTTCTTAAAATTTGCGAACAGCCTCGCTCGGTATAAAAGCAGGGGGTGAGCCTCTTGCTCATCTCTTGATTAAAATGGGGTGGGCCTGCCCTGTAGGATTGCCCAAGGGTTGATCCTGGGTTTAGGATCCCTAACTGTAAACAGGATTATGGGCATGGTTAAACGGGGATGTGAGATCCTTTCCACCTGGGCAGCTTGCTGCCAATGAACCACCGAGGGCAAGAAGTGCTGACCTGTTAGTTCTGGGGGATCGCCTTTCTGAAATCTTTGTAAGGGGGAAGCCAGGTGTTCACAGCTTGCTTGGGGGAGGCGGGGAATAAGCTGGCCTTTGCTGTAGGGAAGCCTAATGCTCTGCTTTTCCAGAAGCGTGGGATGAAACGCTGGCAGGCCCGCTGACAGTGGCTGCCTGTGCTGAACACAGTCAACTCTGTTCTAGGGCCTGTCTTTGGGAGCAAGGATAACTTCCTTGGACTGGGAGTGTTTGTAGACACCTACCCAAATGAAGAGAAGCAGCAAGAGGTAAGGTGGCCTTGGAGACACTCTGCAAGCTGCGGGAGAGTCGCTTGTGGGGTGGGATTGTGCCTGTGGGTCTGAGCCTGCCTGTTGGAACCCCACGGAGGAGGCTTATTAGGAACCGGGTCTGTGGCCTGTAAGTCCTAAATTGGCCACTGGCCACAAATGAGATACTGCCTGCAGGTAGGGGGTGATTTCTGTACCCTGCCTGAATGCAGGATTCTGACTTGTCAGCTTCGTCTACATTTGTGTTGTGTCCTGAAGTTTCCACTTGTTTTATCAGGTGGGCCGTTTTTCTCGCCTGCAGCAAGACTGCAGAGTATGGGTGTGGAATAATGCGAAAGAGGAACTCTGCAAAACGTACGCGTTTGATCAAACGCGGTGCGGAAGAGTCCCACTTGGGCACGAAAGCACACACCCCTGTCAAAGTAGCGTTGTTTCCAACATGCGCAGTGGAAAACTAGCCTTTGGCATCCCTGTGGAAAAACTGCAGGCGAGGGCAATGTGTTTGGCCCAGCTTTCTCCTGCTCTTGCACAAGCAGGGAACCTTTCTGTTCGGGAATCGAGCATCTGATGCCTGTTGAGTTCTAAGACGTAGCCCATGGATCCGGCTTGCTTCCACTGCCTGGACAGAGCAGGCAGCTGTGATGTGGAAGGCCGAGTTTGCTCTCCGTTGTTCTTGAACTGAGGTGGTTGACTTAAATAAAGGATCAACAGCACCTGGAACGAATCGCTTGCCCCACTCTCAGGTGGCGACAGTATCATTCTCCGGAGCCCCTGGCCTGGCTGCTGCTTTATTTTTCAGACAGCAAGGTCTGGAAATGTGTGGCAGCCTCAGCTGCATCTCATTCTTCACTGTAGTGCTAAAGTCCTTCCTGGGAAACCTCCCTTGCATCTTGGCTTTCAGGGAAGCCGTGCTGGGACCAAGGGCTTCCTGGGCAGCCGTCCCTCTGAGCAAAACCGAGTAGATCCATCGCACCCTTTCAGTCTCTGTCCCACCTCCACTCTTCAGCAAGCTTACAACAGGCACCAACTCCAAGGCCTTTATTCATGTTTTAAAAGCTTGCTGTGGGAACATCCGGGAGATGGCGGTCACTGGTTTTATTTGCTCTGTTTTGCTGATTCCGCTTGTCCACTGCTTTTGTTTGCCTGCCTGGTTTGTAAGACGAAACGGAGCACCTTGCACTCCATTCTGGAATGTCACTGATTAGCAGCCCAGTTTCGTTGGCTTCCGCGGAATATTTAATTTAACTGTATTAACTGTAGTAAGCCCTATTCTGGGAAATCTTGTGGTGATTGTGCAGGTCCCCTCCAGTAATGGGAGTTTAATCCTAGCAATTTTATTATGCATATATATGTAAATTATTGTCTTTCGGTTATTTGAAGAGTTTGCCGAGGATTGGGTAGTGGAGCCGCTCTCCTCCTGTCAATTAACAGCAGTGCTGGACTTGCAGGGGGAACGTGTGCGCCCCCCCCCAATGTTGCTGGCCAACGACTCCCATAATCCCTGATTCTTGGCCATGCTGGATGGAGCTGGTAGCTGTCAGGGTCTGACCTTATCCGCTGGGTCACATGCTCTCCCCCTCAGTGAGGTTTACTTTCAAGTTCTGAGCTAGCCTGTAGCTGCATTCTCCTGTGCCTCTGTGAGCAGCGGTTCTGAGCGTGCCGCCTGAAGAGCAGTGACTCCAGCAGAGGGGCGACAAGCAGTGCCTTCCTGAGGCTGAATCACTGTGTTTTGATTCTGTGTTTACCCCCCCCCCCAAAATATCTGTCAAGGCTTGGAATGTGTGTAGGACTGGTCGGCAGAATGAGCTGTGCAAAAAAAGTGCTAATAGCGGGAATTTTGGAAATTAAGCTTAACCTGCTTAAGCAAGCCCAATATTAGGAACAGGGCTCAAGACCAGGTTGGAGTTAGAGAAAAACTCCCCATCAAGCTGTTGAAGCTTGGAGAGGTTTCAGGATGGGTAGAAAGCATGAGCTGGGCAGAGAAACCTCCACAAAGTGGGCCTTTTTCGAAATCTGTCCTCCAGCTGGGGTCTTTAAGCCCTTCCTTAGGGTGGGGGTGAGGTCCAGCTTAAGATTAGGGCTAGAAAAACAACATTCCCCATCAAGCTTTTGGAGGTTGGAATGTGTTCAGGAGCAGTTAAAAAAAAAGCTGTGCAGGGAAACCTCCACAAACCGGGCATTGTGCAGTGGCGTCCTCTGGCGGGGCGCATCAGCGTGGTGACGGTGGCATTTTGTGCTTCTAAGTTCTGCCCCAGGGAAGGGTCCCTCACTGCCTTTTAGGTTGTTTATAGGATTCTAGCTCATCTCCCCCAAATCCAGCGTTCCAAGTGTGTGCACAGCTGCCATCCATGGCCACACCTTCCCAAGGGCAAGGCAGAGAACTCGTCTGGTGGGCTGGGGAAGGAGGGGCTCAAGGGAGGGGTCTCCCCTACCCCCAGTTCCTCGGTCAGTGCAAAGCTGCCCCTTGTGTGACCGTCTCTCGCTTCTGTCCTTCCTTCTCTCCCTTGCTTTGCAATAACTGTTCTGGATTCTCAGGCGCAGAAGAAGAGGTATTCTTCTGGAAATCAGGTACTTTATGACGCTTCCCTGGCCTTGTTCCAAGCTTGTAGCATCTTCTTCCTACCCTGCGTTTCCCCTCTGAGTATGTCTGTAAGCCTTCCAGGTGAGGGGGCCACGTAACGTGGAGCGAGGTGCAGGAGCTGCCTGTTGCTTTGCTCGGCCCCCTTCCCCAGGCCCCGTCGCCCTTCCCCATCCTGCATCGGTTTGCCCATCCTTTCTCCCCTTCTGCTTCTTGGGGAACCTCCGTCAGCGTGATGGCACTGCAGCCTTGTGACCCCGGCTTCAAATCCCCTCCGCAGTCTCCTGGCACAAACTCAAGGGCTTCCGTTGAGTTGGTTCTGCGCAGCGGCATACAGATTCTTCCAGAAACGTGTTTCTGCCCTTGCGGAGGACTCCGGTGGGTGTGGAGTAGTCAGAGCAAAGAATAGTAGTTCCTGCTACCTGGCCAGAAGAGCGTTAACGACAGGGAAGGGGTCTTTTATTTATTCAAAACATAAAATAAATGTTCCTGGGCGGCTCACAATCACAAGATAAAAACCACAATGAAGCCAATTACAAGAATTAAAAAATACAATACTAAGAAAGTGGGAGAAAAAATACAAAACAAAGGTTTAGTGATATCAGCTGTTAAATGTTTTTTAAAGGAAGGTCTCCTGAAGCCGGAAAGAGTATAAGGAAGGTGCCAGGTGAATCTCTGTCGGTTCAAAGACAGGCTGGACGTGCACATGGTGGGCTTGTCGTGAGCAGGGCTGGCTGGAGCCGGGGGTCAGACTAGATGGCCCGGGAGGCCCCTTCTGACTCGCTCTGTTCCTGTGTTTCTAATCTCACTGGGGGGAGCGTTCCAATTATGGGGCAGCTGCAGAAAAGGCCCCCTCCTAGCAGCCACCCCCCTAGCCTGCTTAAGGGATGGCCCACCCAGGAGGGCCCCTGCGTAGACCTCAAAGGCCAGGCAGGCACATGTGGGTGCAGGTGCTCCTTGAGGCAACCGGATTGTAAAGTGTTCTTGCTGGCACAAGCCTCCTTGTTGGGCTCCCCAAACCGCAGAAGGCTTCCACTTGCGCCACCGCAGGGCGCAGGCGCAGCTCCCCCTTTCCTTGTGGCACATGTTGCTTGTTGCCTGGGGGGCCGCCGGGCGTCAGAGTCATGTCCGCCGTGTTGGTGGAAGGTGGCAGCATCCCGTTGGCCCACATCCCCACACCCCACGCCTTGTCTGGTGCCACCCAGTTTGTCAGGAGGCTGGAGAGTAGACAAGACAACCCAGGAGCACGGGAACTTGCCGCGTCACTCCTCCTCCCCAGGCGGGCTCTCCCGTCCACAATGCCATGGCGTGGAGCATCGGTGGGCCCTTGGACGGCCTGTGGGCCGGAGGCCGTCCCCACAGGTGTTTTGCTCTCTCAGAGCCCCGGCAAACCTGAGCGGTGGGGCATTGAGCATTCGGCCAGGTGGAGGCGCTTGTCGGGGGCCGATGGTGGCGCCCCGGCAAGTGGATCCATGCCTGGTCGTCCCCCAGAGCAGAGAGGTGTCCTGAAGAATGGCGTGGCCAGCCCTTGGCTGCAGAGGCAGTGGCGGGGGCGGCCCTGCTAATGCATCTTCCAAACACGGGAATAGGTTTTGCCATTCTCTGACTGGAATGCCGGCTTCTCAAGAGCGCGTTTTGGCCCGGCTGGCGCTTGCACCGGGTGTCATGTCGGCCCCGCTTGCCTTCTGCATGCATCCCGCCTGCCCCCGTCGTCCGACCGCCACAGCCAGGTCTCTGGAGGAGCGGCGCAACACGCCGCCTGCCGGCTGACTGCGGCCCCCTCTCCTCCTGCAGCGCGTTTTCCCATACGTCTCCGCCATGGTGAGCAACGGCTCCCTCGCTTACGACCATGCCCGGGACGGGAGGCCCACGGAGCTGGGCGGGTGCACGGCCATGGTGCGCAACCTCCAGCATGACACCTTCCTGGTGATCCGCTACGTGAAGAGGCGGCTCACGGTGAGTGTCCGCGCCCCGGCCCGTGTGTCCGCGCCGTGTCTCCCGCGTGCCGGCCGGCCGGCCGGGGCAGGCGCCCATGGGATCGCTTCTCCTCTCCGGCAGGTCTTGCTGGACATCGACGGGAAGAACGAATGGAGAGACTGCGTAGACATCCCAGGCGTGCACCTGCCGCGCGGGTACTACTTCGGCGTCTCGTCCGTCACCGGCGACCTGTCAGGTGCGGCTCTCGCAGCGCCCTTTGCAGCGTGAGAGGGTCAGGGAGCAGAAGCAGGCCGGGAAAGCCAGCCCGTTGTGCTCCCCCATGATTCCTTCCGTGAAGAGCTTTGTGTGGCATCTCATGCGGACGCCTAGTGCTAGCAGGCGTCTCTCTCAAGAGTGCCTCTAGTCCTCACGGTGATCTCGTTGCCCGAGACACGCTAGCCGTGCTTGTGGCGCGCTCCAGTCGTCACACAGGTGCCGCTTCTGGTGTGTGGCGTGTTGGCCCGGTCCTTCGGGCAGCCCCTCACTGACGCCGGCCTTGTCACTAGCGTCCTGCCTGGTGCCTGTGGCCCCAGTGGCTTGTGGGCAGCCCTGCTTTCCCTCGGAAGACCCACGGGCGCATGCCAGAGAAGGGGCTTGCATGTGAGGAGGAACCGCGCAGGGTGGGGGGCAGGCCGGGTGAGAGCAGCACCCCTCTGCTGCAGAATGGCGAGAAGCCAGAAGGCACCCGGATGCAGTGGACTCCCCCGCTGCCGGGCCCTGAAGGCGCTTCAGCCCCGTCGCTTCCCAGGGCCTGTGGCCTCTGCGAGACCCTCCTTCCGGGCCCCTTGAGGCAGCCTCCTTCCACAGGATTCCCCCCACGCAGTGCAGGGGAGGGCACTGTGCCTGGCAGACAGCCTGGAGAGAGCTTGGTCCCCCGTGGGCAGAATCGGGGCAGACACGGTGGCTGGCCAGAAGCATCTCCAGTCCTGAGCAGGACGGGCGGACTCGGCGGGCAGGGGGCCTCGCCAGCTGGGGATGGGCCGTAGGCCCTCTCCGGGAGGCTCTGCAGGCGTGCGGAAGCTCACCCGGTCGCCCCGTGCCCCACCCGCTCACTGCCCGTGCGCCTCTCTCGCCCCAGACAATCATGACATCATTTCCTTGAAGCTGTACCAGCTGACAGTCGAGCGGATGCCAGAGGAGGAGCGGCGGGACAAAGAGGTCTTCCTTCCCGTGGTGGACAACATGAAGCTGCCCGGATGTGAGTGGGTGTGGGGGGGCAAGGCGTTGGGCTGGAGGGGGCAGCATGGCAGTGGCAGCCCCTTTCCTGAGGGTGCTGAAGGTACGGGCGCCCAGCCGCCGTGTCCCTCTTGCAGGTCCCCTGCATAGCCCAGGCTGCCCAGTGCATTTCCCTCGTTCCTTCTTCCTGTATGCCGCCCAGTTGTGCCACAGCCCCTTGCGGCATGAGATAAAAACACAACGAAAGCATAATAAAAACCATCGCACAGTAACAACAACAACAAAATACAGCAAAACGTACAATACAAAGGTCTAAGGCAATTAGTTATTAAAATGGTTTTTTGAAAAGGAAGGTCTTTGCCTGGTGCCGAAAAGAAAGTAAGGAAGGCGGCAGGTGGATCTCGGGGGGGGGGGCATTCCAAATGTGGGGAGCAGCTGCAGAAAAGGCCCTCCTCCTAGCAGCCACCCCCCTCGCCTCCCTTTCTGGGGCTCACCCAGGAGGGCCCCCTAGGCCGGGGAGGCACATGCAGGTGCAGGCGCTCCCGGAGGTGGTTGAAGTCCAAGGGTGGGCGACTGGTGCACCTGAGCATCTGGGGGGCTACAGTTCCCAGCAGCCTGAGCCGGCACAGTCAAAGGTGGGGGACGGTGGGAGTTGAAGGCCCAGCTTGCCCACCCCTGCCCTGGTCCAGCACTCGAACCCGTGGGCTGTCGTGGGTGAGGAGCAGCCATCATGGGCCTCTCCACCATGTCGGTCACTCCCTCCCAGGTGGGTCCGCCATTGTGAGCGTGGGCCTGAGTCCCGCTACAGAGGCACCACGGGGCTTGTGCCCCGGGCCTGACCTGTCCTCCGTTTTCTGCAGTGGAGACGCCGATGGAGCCCATGAGTGGCCTGGCTCTCTTTCTGATTGTCTTCTTCTCGCTGGTCGCCATCGTGTTTGCCATCGTCATCGGCATTATCGTCTACAACAAATGGCAAGAACAGAGCCGGAAGCACTTCTACTGACCTGTGGGGCCCCTTCTGTATTCTGCCTTCTGGACGGCCGGCGGGGTGGATGGCCACGTACGCAGGAGACCCTTCTCCAGAAGCCCGGCGGCCAGGGGCTCCCATCCGTCCGGAACTTAAACTCTGAACGGATTGGTGGGGGCCCTCCTTGCTGGGCCCCCTCTGTGGAAGGTGGCCACACCTCTCCTCTCTGTCTTCTCTGATCTGAGCTTTCAGCACCAGCATTTCCACAGACCTTGGTGGGTTCTAAACATATCTGCAGCTGTGTTGTGCAGAAGGGACGTTTGTGTCCTTGCAGGTGGATCAGAGAGGCCTGTGGCCAACTGCCTGGAGTCCGTGGCCTGCGCTCTTGGCTAGCTGGGAGCTTTGGCCTGGCGGGCATCCTGATGGCGCCTGTCGGGGCAATTGTGACAGGTCCGTCCTGACTGTCTAGTCTGAATGTTTTACCAGGATGTCTTAGCCAGCACCTGTCCTGGCAAGGAAACCTGGTGACTTGCAGCTGTAAGGAAGCAACCCTCCCCCGCATGGCCCACGACCTAAATGTCCCTTCTACTTGCCCAGGACGGGAAGAAGCGCAGTGAATGCACAACCCTGCCGAGCAGTCAGACGGGGACTTCCCCCTGAAAGTGGCCCCCCCCCGCTCTGCCGGCTCCCCGGCGGCGCTGTTGGCGGCCTGAATGGGCCCAGTGGCCATCGGGCTTGTCAGGTGTGGCCCGGCACCCTTGCGGAGGGGTGGATGTGCCCCCGTGAGGTGCGTCTTCTGCGGGATCCCATTCGCTGCAGCGGCAGCAGCAAGGCCTCGGCCGGGGAGTCTGGCGATGGCCGTGGCTTCTGGGCCGCTCCCGTGGAGGCCCACAGAGGCTCGTCGAGGGGCTGCTTCAGCGCGAAGCTCGCCTGCGTTCGCCTCGCTTCCCCTGCCGACTGCTTCGCTCGCTGCTTCTCGCACCTGCAGCAAAGGTGGGGCAGAACGGCCGTCTCCAGACGCTTCGGGCTCGACTCCCAACATTCTTGACACTGGGCATGTGGATAGGGGCTTCTGGGGGTTGAAGTCCGAAACATCTGGAGAGGGACTGCCCTCGAGCGCACAAGCAGCTCCCTGGGGGAACAAGGGTGCAGCCGAAGGGCTGTTTCCCACCAGGCCGACAGGGCTCCACGAACGACTGGGGCAAGACACCGGGTCCTTCCCTCCCTGCTGCTGCCTCTCAAGCGGCCCCTTCCACTTTCTCTTGAGAGACATGACCCGGTTCCCTCCAGATGTGTTGGATTGCAATTCCCATCATTCCTGGCCAGTGGGCACGGGTGCTGGGGCTTGTAATCTTGAAGCTTCTGCTGCTGCCTTGCTCCTCTCCTCTCCCTCCGCCCTACAAGCCCCGCCGACGCGCTCGTCTTCGGCATACCAGTCAGTTTCCTATGTGTGTCTTCACCGAGGGTTGACCTTGGTTGGAAGAAACGTGGTCTCTGAGCCGTTGAACTGGAGAGCTGAGGAGTGACTCCGGGATGCTTGCTTGCCTCGCTGGGCGCACCACTCGCCTGGCTCCCTCTGGCCCCACCCGGGCTGAAAAGCCTCGCGGGAGGAGCTTGCTGCTGCCTCGGCAGGCGCTGGGCAGTGTTCTGTGCTGTGGCAGCCTTGAGTCGTCCTGTGCAGTGGGAGGCCTGGCTGTGCCCAGAGATGTCCCCCCACTCTGTTTTCCTGTGGCACAGTTAAAAAAAACAACCATACTCTACCGTTTGAGCAAGGACTATGCGAAATTTTCCATTCCAAATGGGCTGCCACTGAAGATTTTCATGGGGGGAGAGTAGTTTTCAGAAACCTCTTAATGGTCTGCCCTTCTCTCTGGGATACTTTTAGTTTCTCCTTTTCCTCAGCATGGGCTTATTTTTAAAAATAATGGTTGAATGCTCCCGGCAAATCGGTGCTCATGCAGTGAACATAATCTGGCCATTTTTTCTTTTCCCACGTGGCCTCCGTCCAGTTCGCTCGCTGCAGAAATGGCCGAAGGCGGGCTCGCTTCTCGGTGCTGTCCAGACGCGCGTCACAGGGCCCCCTCGCGGCTCCTGGCTGGGCCCTAGTCTGGAAGATGCCCACGAGCGCTTTCAAGCATACCCGGATCACAGTGTGCTGTTCCCTTGGCGGGAATGCAGCTCGAGACAAACTGGAGAACTGCAGCCTGCCCAGCCATTGAGCGACCCCTGAGAAGAATTCCAAGCAGCAAGCAAGCAAGCAAGCAAGCAGCCTGTGTAAAAGAAAAGGCCGATTTAGAAGATGGCTCGGCTGTTTGCACGTCACCCCTTCCCTTTAGTTCACAAGCGGCATCAGCTTCCGGAGGCCTTTTCTACTTGAGCCATAAACTTGGGCTTGCTCCAATTTGTGCTGCAGCCGTCCTCCTGCCTTACTGCCGTGGGTGAGGCGTTTCTGAATGTCCCCTTGTGTAAAGGGGCAGCAGGAGGGGGGTAGGGTCGCCCTTTCGCCAAGAGGGTGTCTCGAGCTGGGGTGAGCCCCAGGCCCAAGAAGGACCCCCTTTGGTCCCCTCGTCCAAGATGCGTGCTGGCTTCGGAAGGGGTACCTCTTGCATCCCCCCGCCCCAAGCATGGCCAGCTGGCTCTTGGTGCAGCACGGATTGCCTTGCGGTCGCTTGACCTGACTCCCAGTTGGGCTGCTGCGTTCGCCACTGGCCTGACAGGGCTCGCCCGCGTGCAGGGAGCCCTCAGAAGGAGGCCACCGAATTGGAACTGACCTTCTTGATAACCTTGCCGGCGACGACACGAGCCGAGGCTCCATTTGCATCATTAGCCCATCCGCCCCAACATGTTTATCGGCACCGCGCTGGGCGTGGCCCCTGTGATTACTTGACGCATCTGAGCTTGAACAGAATTGCCCCTATTCTGTCCTTCTTCGCTTGCCGACTCAGGGCTGCTCTCCTCGCTTTGGGCAAAGTGGGCTCTGGCCAGCAAATGCTTTTGCCTTAATTAACTGGTGTGTTTGTCCTTAGGGTGCCACAAACAGGCATCCCGGAGAGCCCTTGGGGGGCAGAAAGCCTGCAGAGAAGAGCTCGGCCCGTGGTACCCCTGGCCCTCTGCCAGACAATGAAAGAACGTGGCGGTCGGCCAAAATGCCTGGGAGGCAATGAGCGGTCCAGAGCGGAGTGTGAAGAGCATTCTGGGGACTGCCTCCTCAAAGCATTACTTGAAGTAGGACTCGGTTAGGGCTAGGAAATAGTCCTTGGGACTGGGGTGTGGAGGGAGTGTGCGCACTGTACCTGTGAGCATCTCCAGAAATGGTCTGGCAAAAGTGCTCGGCGGCCATTCAGCTGGAGGGTCCTGCGTGGGCTGCCCTCCTGGATCATCCTCTTCCGGGGGCTCTGGGGGGGGCAGCTTGAGGCAACCGCTGGCATTGTTGCAGCCGCTGGCCACCCAGAAGGTATGAGCAGTGGTGGCTTTTCCAGGTGGCGCCGATGTTGGCCGGTTCTCTGCTTCCCCCTTGCATGTGGCTTGCTGGCTTCTCCATCTGGGCCAGTGGCTGCGAGTCCTTCGGGGGCTTTCTTGGAGAAGAGAAAAACAGCCTGCTTCCCACTTGTGCTTTGGAGGACTGTCCTGGTCTAAATTCCCAAGCCCATCCTGCCGTTTCTTGAATGCGAGACAGCGGCAACCTCCACCAGTAGGACCGGGCGGCAGAACGGATGCTCTACACGCAGCTGGCCCCGGACCCGATTCCTGGTGGCGCTTTTTGTCTGACTGACTGCAGCTGCTTAAGGCTTTGGAGAGTGCGAGTAGAGCCAGGAGGACCAGTGGTTCCCAGAGACAGCTTCACATACGCACATTCAGAGGCCCGGCTGCGGTGCGAATATCAGCTTGCCTTTTATTTAAAGAAGCTGGAACACCAAACACTTTGCATTTGGTCCTAGACACTGAAGTCTGCGTTTAGAGGAATATTTTGTCCCAGAGCATCAGGAAATGTCTCTCTTTTGGAGGAGCTCAGCACTTTCTGTCCTAAACAAAAACCAAGCCACCAGAATGTCCCTTGACACATGCACGAGCCTCTTGCTTTGCCCTTCAGATGCTGCACTCTGGAAGAGGGCAGTGCCTGGCACGGATTGCTGCGTTGGCTCCTCCAGCCGGGATCGCTTCTAGGCACGTAAGCATTTCAGGATACTGTAGCGGGGAAACATGGCCTCTTTCGAAGGAACCGGTTTTGCTGGGTCAGTCAAAGCTGTGCATCTGCTTGTTTTTGTGTCTTGAAATAAACACACACAAGTGTTAAGTGCTGAAGTCTTTTATTGCTTGATGAATGGATGGTTTGACCCTGTCCCGAACTGCCTGGAAGGAGGGAGAGAAAGACTGGACCGTGGCGCACACCTCTCTCGCCAATTTTATCCCAATGTAGATCCCCCCCAGCTCACCCTCCCGGCCCCCCCAGACAGCAGCCTGGTGCATCTGGAGGTTGGTGGAGGCTGTAATTGGGCCAGCGCTTCTGAGCAGTGGGCTTATTTCTGAGTGGTTGCCTAAAAGGACTGGGCCAGGTGAAAGAACATCTTGTGGCTTCCATGTTCCAAAGATTTCCAGGTGATGTGGATTATCCATGCAGACTCATCACAGGGCAGAGAAAGCTTTGGTTGTCCTGGGGAATAACACAGCCCAAATATATATGTGTGTGTGTGTGTGTGTGTGTATATATATAAAAAATCCTTTTTCTTGGTACCCTGCTTTTTAGACCTGTTCTTTGGGGTAATTTGGTGAGCCGGTTCAGAAAATCGCATTGGCTAAACCACATCGGCTCTAGTTTCTTAGAGATGGCCAAATGTATGTCATTTTTGGTCAGTTTTTGAAAAGGTCTTTCTGATCAACTTATTCTTTCGTTACCTAGTTTGTGTTTTTGCATGCAAGTGAGCAGATAGAGTGAGTGTGTATGTACTTCCAACCGTAATTTTACATCAGAATCATTGGATTCTAAAGGATAATTAACAGTATTATAGCTATGAACTTATAGGAGGTGTGTGTACATAGGGCATTTATGCTGCATCTCAAAAAGTAGAGCTGATAGGAGAAAATTGGTACTTTTTTTGTAATTGGCAGGTCAAATATACCCAGGTGCAGGGCTATCGGGGCCCTGCCCCCTCGGCAGCTCTCGGTACCATCCAGCTTCGCGCTGCTTGCAGGCCCTTGGTCTAAGGCAGGCTTGTTACGGGGGGCTCTCTGGGGAGGGACACTTGGGGAAAGCGGGGCTGGGGGATTCCTGCTTAATGGGGTGCATGGCCTGGGGTGTCCCTCCAAGTCCCATCGCGCCCCTCATGCTGTCCAGTGACCTCCGGGATGGGCTGCCCGACACCTGAGGGCTTGGCATCCCCTTCACGAATGGCACCCAACTCGCTTCTTCCCTCGTCCAAATCCAAATCCTCCTCCTCTTGTTTCGGTTGGTGTCTGAAAATGGGCTCGGCGAGGCAAACAAGGGGAAGCTGGATCCAGGCCGGACGAGTGCTTTGGGCTGGTCGAGCGAAGGTCAGGGCACGGGGAGTCCGCCTGGTTGGATGGGGCGAAACCCCCTGAAGACTTGGGTCTACTTGAGCCTGGCTTATGGACAACCTCCATGCATAGCCTATAATCCTCCCCGGTTCTTAAGGTCTTTGGGAGAGACCCTTCTAGGTTCATGTCTTTCCAAGGGGCATTTGGTGCAATGAGAGACAGCCTTTTTAGTGGTGGTGCCACTACGTTTAAATAGGGCTTGGGGGCATAAGGTCTTGGGGGCTGAAGCCTGTTTGCATTCTGTCGGTAGTCTCTTCAAATATTTGTTTATTGGTTTTATCGGTTTTATTTGCGATTGTAAGCCAACTGGAGTATCATTTTTGGTAGGAAGGCGGTGTACAAATGAAACAATAAAAAGGTAGGACTGGGCTGTAAAGATCTGCAGAGAACCTACAAGACCAACCTACAAGACCTACAAGACTCTATTTTGACATTCATGTGATTTATTTCAGTTGAAGGGAATTGTACAGAGCCCCGAAGATGCCCTTCCTGCAGTTCTCCGCCACGTCACACATTCTCTCCTCGCCAGCTGGTTTGGTCTAGTGTTGATGCCGTGAAATTTCAGTTGACTGCAGAGGACTCTGCACTGGCAGGAAAGGAAGACTTTGGGAAGCTGTCACAGAATGGATGCTCCCCGTCAAATGGACAGGTTCCGTTCCAGCTGCATGGAGGAGACACGAGGCGCGGGGCGCTTTCCCCGCGGGGTGAGACTCAACGAACTGCAGCCTGACCAGGTGCCACTAATAAGGAGAGACGGCCTTTTGGGCAGCTGCCGGCTTCCTCTTGGGAGACAGAAGTGGCTGCTTTGGCGGTAGCCGTGACTTCTTGGGAGGTTGCAGTGCTGGGTGGGGAGTTGGTTGCATTTTTTTGCGTGGTGCTTGCGCCCTCTTGGGTGGCTGTCGTGCTTTTTTAGGAGGCGGTCGTGGGTTTTTAGGATGCGTTTGCATCCTTTTGGGCAGAGCTCGCATCCTCTGGGGCGATCCTTGCGTCCTCTTGGGTGGCTGCCGTGTTTCTTTAGGATGTGGGCGTGGTTTCCTGGGATGTGGGCGTGGTTTCTTGGGATGCGGGCGCGGTTTCCTCAGATGCGGGCGTGGCTTTTTTGGACGTGCTTGTGTCCTCTTGAGCGGCGGTTGTGTCTCTTTAGGATGTGGCCTCTTTCTGTTGGGAGGCGGACGTGGCCTTTTGGGAGTTGGGGGCGGTCCTTGCGGAGTTGCTGTTGGCGGTCCTTGGAGAGTCAGTGGTGGCCCTGCTTGGGGAATTGGCAGAGGCGGCTGGGGAGACATATTCATGCCCCCCCTGGGAGGCGGTTCTAATGTTGAGGGCTTTAAACTTTTCAGTGGATTGATCAGCTTCATGGCCAGGTAGCCCTGAGGAATGAACAGGAGACAACTAGAAGAAAGCGCCTGTGTTCTCTCCCCTCTCTCTCTGGAACCAGTATTTATTTTTTAGTAATTTATTTCTCAAAAGCTTTTTTATACCGAGACGCTCGTGGTGAGAAACGCTATTAATTAATTAATTTAAAAAGTAATATGCAGTCCTATCACAAAAGTCTCGGGAGTACTACAATTAGAGGCATCATCAACCTTCAGATCAAACCCAGTTAAAACAACAGTTAAGACTTACAGTATTGGGAAGATAAAAAAGTTTTGGCCTGGCGCTGAGAAGAATAAAGTGTCGCCACCTGGCACACCTTTCTGGGGTGCATCCTTCATAACCGGGGTACCACCACAGAGGAGGCCCTTCTCCGGGTCCCCGAGAGAGGTAGATACTCACTGAAAAGCTGCAAGTGCTAACAGCTCAAGCTCTCACCCCCTTTGGGAGTCCAGTTTCCCATCCTGCCCCCAGTAGACTCACGGGGGCTGAATAGATGAAGTGCGCCAAGAGGAAGAGGACAAGTGCAATGAAAAGAGCCAGGAAGATCTTCCACTTGCTTCTCTGCCATAGGATGAAGTGGAGGCTCTTCAGCGGGGCTGTGAACCACAGGAAGGAGGTCTCCGGCCTCCTAGCAGTGGGGGAAACGGATGCAACAAGGAGCAGCGGAGGTATCAAAGGCAGGTCTTTCCAGCTGACCACCATGCTGCTTTCCCACAATGCCCCAGCACCGTGTCCCTCCAGGGAGCCTGTCCCAACCCCAGCCTCAGCCTTTCACGAGGTTGATGGAACTGCCTGGGCAATGGTGGGAGGCTCCAGAGAGGCCTCCATGCAGTGATGGAGCATAGTCTCTCACTGGGCCCTCTGCCCAAGAGGCCCAAGGCCACTGCAAGCCGCACGGAGCTTGCCACGGTGGCCAGGCCAGTGGCAGGGGACTCCGTTTCCACAGCCCTGCCTCGGAAGAAGCCAGCCCCCCGAAGCCTTGGGCGCAGGCTCTGTCTTGGCACAGGATGTCCACCCTCTCCCTGCGCCCCTCCCCAGTGGCGCCTGTCCTGGGGCGCCCAGACGCCGCTTCTTACTCGGGTGGCTGCAAACAGGGGTTCATGTTGGGCTCGTCCCTCCCCTTCCCAGCCGGCCTCTCTTCAGCCTCCGCTTCAGTCAGCAGCTCGATTGTCATCTCGACTTTGCCCTGGAGAGTCAGAGATACGAGAGCGCGGGTGCCGGTGGGGACAGGTGTTATGGGAGACGTGGGCTGGAAGGCACTCCCTGGCTTGCCTGTGCTGCCACCGCTCCAGCACTGGCTGCTGCCCAGCCTCAGCTTAGATCCGAGTCCCGCAGTGGACTCAGGCTTCGCAGCCTGTGCAAGCGCCCTTTCAGGGCAGCAAGCATTTTGCCGAGCCTCTGCAGCATGTACGTGCCGTGCCCCCCGTGAATGTCAACACTTCTAAACAGATCCATCGAAGCGGTGCTGCAGTGAGCAGTCAGCCCTGAGGCCCGCAGGCCCTGATCCGCCCACGCATGACCCTGTCAATGGTCGCCTCGGCTTGCTAGCTCTGACTCCCTGGTTGGCCATCTGGGGGCCCCGAGTGGCTGAGTCCCCTGTGCTCTGCATCTCCCCCATTGTCACTGAGCTGTGTCTCCTGGAGGCATCCATGGCTGTGTGGGTCAGAGGGGGGTCCTAACGGGCAGGATCAGGCCCCTGGCCCGGCTGCTGGTTCTGCCCTCCTAGTCTTGTTTGGAAAATGTTCCAGTAAAATTTTAGGAGAGGAGCTGAGAGAAGCTGTAACGATAAAAGCAGAGCTTGGCGGGTCACAGAACAGGCCTCCTGGACTGTCCCGCCTGCATCCGGGCAGCCAGAGGCCCTCCTGCCCCGGAAGCTCCTCTTTGCCTACCGACACGCGGGGCTTGTCCTTCTCGAAGACGATGCACGGCCACCAGCCCCGCAGGTTCTTCTGCACGAACAAGGAAATGTGCTTTTCTTTGTGGCGGTGCAAAGGCGAAGAGGAGGCGGTGGCGGGGGCGGCGCTGTCCTCCATCAGCATCTTCGCCGTGCAGTCGCGTGGCCGTTTAGCAGGTCGTGGGATCTTGGTCAAGTTCATTTCCAGAATGCCTGCGGCGGATCGAGGCAGTCAGACTTGGCCCCTGGGCCCCTCCGAAGCCTTCCCCGCCTGAGCCCCCCTGGGTGTGTTGCGTGGTGGTTGCTGCTGCCCGCGCCGTCGAGTCGTCTCCAGCTTATGGCGACCCTTCGGATGAAAGCCCTCCAAGATGCCCTCTCCTGGACAGCCCCGCTCAGCTCTTGTGAAGTCCCAGCCGTGGCCCCCATTATCTCACACCTGGTCTTCCTTTTCGTCTGCCTTCTACTTTCCCTGACAGAAGGGTCTCCTCGAGGGAGTTTGGCCTTCTCGTGCTGCGCCGAAGCACAATGGCCTCAGTCCTGTCGTTTTTGCAGTTAAGGAGACTTCCGGCTTGATGTGGTCTAGGGCCCACTCGTTCCTCCGTCCGTCAGCCGATGTCGTGCATCAAGCTCCGACAGAAACAGTGACTCACGAGGAGACCTTGCACTTGGCACCCAGTGCCCAAGCGTCGACCCCACAACCCAATGCAGGGACGGCTGAGCCAGCTACTGCGTCTTCCCCTGAGCCCCAGCCCGCTGAGCAAAGGCCTGGACCTTTATCAGAGGCAGAGAGTCATGAGAAAGAGGGAGCTGCAAGTTCTACTCGGAAGGAGGCAGAGCAAACTGTCTCCTCCCCCCTGAGGCTGATCTCCCTGAGCCAGAAACAGAAGACACAATAGGTGTCGTAGATTTCTCAAAAGTTGAGCACAGACGTCTTTTACGCAGATCTGAACAACTACAAAGTAGACAGCGCAAGAGGGAGGACAGGCGCGACTTGGGAGGATGATCCCGCGTGGGCTCAGGAAGAGACATGCGCTCACAGGACATGCGCTCACTGCCCAAGGGGTTATGGGGTCCCAGTCACTGTCCAGCACCCTGGTGGACCCAAGATTGTGCCTGACGGTCCTGCACCATGCAGGGGAGAGGTGAAGTGGGGTGCTTGATATGAGTCTTAGAACAGCAAAGGGCCCAGAGAATTATCGGATCGCACCCCCTGCCTTAAGGGGAAACCCTGAAGGGCAGTTTGAGCATCCCCTGTTGTGGTGTAAGTTACAAACAATTCCTTTGACCCGTTGACGGGTTTCAAGCATGTCTGGATGAGTTCTTCTTGCCACGTCTGTCTTGGATGCCTGTGAACTAGAGTCATGCTAGCATCAGTCTCCTTTGCCCGTCAGTGTGAACGTGGAAGCGTGCCTTTGGGAATATCCGCGGAAATGTTTTGAGAGGGTTATGCAGACCAAAAGGTGGAGGGCAGCTTGAGGGACACGCAAGGTGGGCACTGGCGATTTCCACGAAGGCCAAGCTGGGCACAGGAACCGGAAAACAGGCCCGTTACTCCCACCACCCCAGGACCCCCTCACACTGTTCGGGATTCTCCTTACCCAGGAAATCGTCAGCAGAGAATTTGTCATTGTCCCAGATCTGGATGATGAGTTTCGGGGGTACTTTTTGCATGGTTTCATCCAGGCTCCAGAAGTGTTGCTGCAAAGATGGGGGGAACACGGCTTAAGTGGGGGGCTCTGACTTCGCAATGAAACCTCCAGTGCTCGATTGTCTTTTTACGTCCCCTTTCCTCGTGTGCCTTTTGGATTCTAAACCCGCAGGCAGCAACAGCTATTTCTGCACTCTGTAAGCCGCTCTGAAGGACTTTTGCAGGGGATAGACTGCATAAAAATGCTCTGCTTGCCCACGTGCCATCCAAGGTTTGCCCAGTCGTGTTTTATTGCTGCAGAAATCCAAGCTAGAGCAGCCTTGCAGAGGCGCCTGCAAAATGTACCAGTCTATAAAAATATACGTTGGCCCACTTAGGCAGTCTCTGAACGCTTCAGATAAACTGCTGTTGGGAGTTAAGAAAGCAAGGAAGGAAAAAGTGGGTCGCAAGAGATGCTCTTGCAGAGCTCCTGCTTTGCCTGGCCAGCCGCTGAGGACCTGGTCAGCCTCTGCCCCATTCCTAGATGTGGGGTTCTTCGTGTAGAATGAGCCAGTGGGGCAAGCCCCCAGCGCCGGCTCGGTTCCTGGAGGCACCTGTGAAGGGTCAGCCAGGGGCCCACCTCCTCCGAGCTTCTCAGGTGAGCAGCGGAACAGCGGCTGGGCCACTTTGCGGGAGAGCAGGTGGAGGGAAACCGTCGGACACACGGTGGCAGCACACACCTGGACGCCGCCTTTTCCCAGGCTTGCTACTTTATAGAAGTTGGGCAGCCTTTTCCCCGGCAGCGGCTCAGCCTCTCGTCCATTCGTTGATGGCATCAGATGTTTGAAATTGGTTTGAAGGGCATACACAATTGTGGTTCATGCCAGCACATGTGCATGCTTGTGGAAATCTCCACATTTTTTTTCAAGTCTACAAGTCTTTTTAATCTGTGCGCTTTGGAAAAAGGTGTTCGACTCTGAAAATCACTGAGATTCCTTGAACTCGGAAGTCATTTCTCTGACATCCCTAGCACAGATGAACTGGAAATTTCAATTTTATGCAAAAAGCCCCTGATATCTAGACATCTCTGAAAAGAACAATGCCAGCAAGTTCCCACAATTCCTGTTGCCCCTATTTAAAATTTCCTGACACAAAACTGTATGTCTCTACAAGTAGAGAAAATTAGCTTCTCAGGAATAATTAATTCATTCCATTAATACATTCCTATACTGGCCAATGCTTTCTCCTTAATCAGAATCCAACTGACTATGAGAAATATTTATTTATCTATTTAAGACTTTTTAATACCATCCCCTACCAAGGTCTCGGGGCAGTTGGACAGTAAACAGAATAGAGCAAAATAAAACACAGCATCCTAATGAATTCCTAGAAATAAAACCCGTATTAAAATGACAATCAAACCTTAAAATATGCTTAGTATGCAGTCCCAAAGATTTTCTTCAAATAATAATAGCGCAGATGTAAAATATTATTTAGAGAAAGGGGGAAAGGATTTTACCGAAGGGAATTTCCTTAGAAATTCCATCTTTCCTTTTGGACCTAGAACTAACTCACTTTCTTCTGAGTTTAAGCTTAAGAGTGACTTGCTCAATGAAATAGCAGTGCAGTGGCCTTTGACTTACACCATAAAGTCCCCAGATGCATTTGACCATGTTAGTCGAAGAAATATGGAGTCCATACCATTGGTCATCTCCCATTTGAATGGCCAAACCCAGTATAAAAATTCACATCTTACCGGGTAGAAAGGTAAGACATTTCTATTTCACAGAAATGTCTTTCTCATGTGGAGCATTTCTTAAACTTCCGCATGTTTTGACCTTTGCATCAAATAGCAAGGATATGCAATGAAAAGAACCTGGAAAGTCCTGGGGCTCGGTGACCAGCGTCAGCAGCACGGATGCCACTCACCTTCTTGGTGAGGACGCAGACCTGTTCCATCGGCAGGTAGTCCATGGTAAACACGAAGCGCCAGTTGAAGTTGCCTTCACCCGCCAGAGATCGGTAATGGACGTCCGTCTTCTGACTGTCCTCTTCTAGGCCATCCAGCCACCTGGCACCAGTGCAAAGAGATGCTGGAGCTGCCTGGGGAAACAGGCTCACCCCAGCCTGGCTTCTGGGTTACATGCAGATCCCGTGCTTCGCCACGCCTGAGTTCTGGATGCCTGAAGGAGCGCCTCCTTCCCTCTGTGCCCGCCCGCCCGCCCCTTGAGATCTGAGGCAGAGGCCCTTCTCCGGGAGCCCTCCTTGAAGGAGAGCAGGAGGGTGGCTGCCCGGAGAGGGGCCTTTTCGGTGGTGGCATCCAGATTGTGGAATGCGCTCCCCAGAGAGGTTTGCCTGGTGCCGTCGCTTTATTCCTGTCAGCACCAGGCAAAGACCTTTTTATTTTCCCAATATTTTCCCAAACAGCTAATTGGTTTCATCCTTGTTTTTATCATCATTTATTGGATGCAGTGTGTTGTGAGTTGTTTGTTGCATATGTTTGCTTTGTTTTTTGTTTGTCTTTTGTGAGCTGTCCAGAGACTTTTAGTATTGGGACGGCATATAAAAACTTTGAATGAATGAACGAATGAACGCCTCACCAGCCCCCCTTTCATCCAGCTGCATTGAAACACAGCTCCCAGCTGATGGGGGGCTGCTGGAAGTTGTAGTTAGCACATCTGGAGAGCACTGTGTTGGGGAAGCTGGCATAAGGCAGTTCTGCGAGCAGATTTGGGAGAGGCATCCATCTCGACACAGAGATATTTCAGGCCAGGACTCCGAGGAACCTCCGTGATTGTCCCTGAATGCAGGTCTTGCCTCTTCTCATTTAGTGACAACACACCGCCATTCTTTATTTATTTATTAATTAAAACATTTCTGTGCCGCCCCATTCGCCGAAGCCTCGGGGCGGCTCACAAGATAAAGTACAAAAATAACAATATAAAATAATAACAATATATGTGTTTATTAAAACATTTATTAAACATTATGCAGTAGTTGTGTTTTTGGGTTCAGTGGAGGCTCTGCACTGCCCTTCTGGTAGCAACATCCCTGCAACAGGGGTCTCTCCCAGGAAAGAGGCGGTCGACTCCCTGGCTTTCTTCCCCTGCAGAGAGCTGCGGAGCGTTTCATGCAGCTCGGCCAGGTTGATGTTCTATGCCCCTCTCAAAGGTTATTGCCCAGAACGGCTTTTGCCCTTGTGCTTCTTGCTTTTAGGATGCTACATTTCTCTGACATTTTTGTTGGACATTGTCCCAAGCGCCTGGTAGGCCGAGGGGACGATTCAGAAAGTCAAGGCATGGACTGTATCGTCACAGCCTGTGACGCGTCCAGCTTTTCCTTGGACTCGACTGCTTATTTTTGTGCTCTGCACAGATAGCACTTTTTACGCTGCGTGTCCACAGAGCTGCTGGCTAAGGATAACTTTCAGTCCCCGGCCACCTGCTGCTGTCCGTCCGGTACCTACCCTTTCACATAAATGTCACTCATCCGGTCTCCAAAAATATTGGTGTCTTCCAGGTCCACATCTTTGGTGTTCCAGATGATGCAGCGAAGTTCGTACCTGGAGAGAAGCAGGGAAAGAAGGCCGCAGTGCCAGGAGGAGCTTTAAGGCAGTTTTGGTCAATGCCGATCTCCATGTATTTTGAACTTCAGCTCCCAGCATTCCTGGTCATGGGCCAAGCCAGCAGGGGCCGATGGGAGCTGAAATCCAAAGTACCTGCTGGTCTACCTTCTCAGCCCAGCTTTAAGGGATTCCTTTGCTGCATGGAGCAGGTCTGTAAGGCATTTTACCAGGTGGAAACTTTTAGCTCTTTTCCAATGAGCAACACGGCAAGTTGGATTCCTGGTGTATAATGCAGGGATGAGGCATCAGTTTGAGGCTCCACCTGGGGTGCGATGTTGCTCTACAGCACATCAGGTGTGCTCTGCATTACCTGGCCAATTTGCAATGTCTTTCCCAGTCCTGTTACCGCAGAGTCCCCAGCAGGTGACCTTGGACCCTCAGCCTGCGAAGCAGCTGCCAGTTGAGCTCAGCTCAGCACCAGGCATGGACTGGCCTGCATTGGCATGTACATTAGGCACCCTGGCGCATTGAAAGTAGCCTTCTACCAAGCCAGGCCCCTGCTCCGTTCAGCCCAGTAGTGCAGACACTGACTGACAGCAGCAGCGGGCACACACGGGCTGACCAGGCACAGGGTGTTGTGCAACGGTGTGTCTCAGCTCAACCCCTGCTTCTTCCTGCCAAAAGAACACTGCTCCTTCTCTGGGAGGGAAGGAGCTCAGAGGATCCTGGGAAAAGATGGAGAATAACTGGACCTGGTCTCTAGCTGCTTGTTCCTCATCTCGAGGTGGGGCAGAGGATGGGGCTGTGATGCAGCCTCCCCATCTCTTTCTTTCAAGCATCAGGCTTCTTTACATGAGGGGTTTAACCTGCCACTTTCCTGAGGTGTCTGCTTTGTTTCCTTTGTTGGGAGGAAGAACGGGTCCTTTTCAAGGGTCTGTGCTAAGGTGTCTTTCTCTCCCCTTCTAATGCTTTCCATTTTTCAACCACAAGGTGGCGGTGTGCTATGACTTCCTGTCACAGAATTGGTATAATGCCAGAGACTGGCATTCTGGTTTTTTCTGCATTTGAAATTCTCTTGCTCTTAAAAAAAAAAAAAAAAAAAGCAGTGAAAATTCCTAAAACTCCCAAAGGAGGTTCTTGAGGCTGCAGAATTTCTGAAAAGGCCCCATAGCCTTCCTCTAGGGAGCGGGGATGAGCGTACCATCACTGCCTCCCCTAGAGAAGCCCTTTGGTGCGCATTTTCTAGACAAAATATGCCATCAGCCAGCTAAGAATGTACGTGTGTGGGGGGGCACTTACCTCTGGGGAGTCCTTGGGGTGATGTCGAAAGGGGGCCCTGGCTCCCCCAAGCTTTCTGGGAAGATGTCAACCCACATCTGCACTTTACCCTGGAAGGGAGAGAGTCGTAAAGCCATTTGTGCCAGTTAAATCCGACAAAGAACCCGGAGGCCAACGCCTCAGGAAGCGGCAGGTTCAACGCCCCGTGTAAAAAAGCTCCGACTTCAAAGGCTGCTCTTTTCACCCTTCTTACAATACTGGATATTGTGCCCTGAAGGAGCTTCGGTGCTTCAGGGGCGCCCCACTTTTGAGGAGAGGCCAAAACACGGGGGGGAGGGGGGTCCTGATGCAGTGCCTGGCAGCCTCCCGTCCAGCAGCCGTGGGCACGTAGTGCACACCGGTGGTCCTACCTGCTCGAACCCTGGGTGGGCCGCGCTGTGCAGGGTGCGTGTCTCTATGTGCTCGGGCACCAGCCCGCAGGCGTGGAGCAGGTGCAGGGCCAGGCGCTCCTTGGCGGGCCCCAGCCGCCCGTGTGCCGGGACCTGGGCCTCTGGAAGGACAGCAGCGTTGCGCTGAGCAGAGTGCAGGGCTGCGCGACAATGACGCACGGCAGAGGGCGTGCCAGCACACCCGCACATGCGCACACACACACGCACACACACGTGCCTCACAAAGGGGAAGGCCGGGACCTCTTGGCGATCATCCCGAAGTGCAGGATGCGGAATAACGGGCTCACATGGCGGGGATCCAGGTTCCGGTTGGACTTTGGGAGGGAATTCCTGACTGCTGGGGCAGTGCAGCCGTGGAACCCAAGACCCGGGGAGGTGGTGGGCTCCCCCACATGGGGGGCATTCAGGATGCAGCTGGGCAGCCAAATGAGGGGGATGCTGGAACCTGAGCTTCTGCACTGAGCCAGAGTTGGATCTGCTGGCCTTATAGGCCCTTTCCAACGCTACTATTCTACAATTCTAGCCGCTTTTTTGTAGAAGGGCTGGCTGAATTCTGCAACCGTTAAAATTGTGCGCATCCGCAGAAATTTGGCACTATTTTTCTTGGCATGTTTTTTATTCTGGAGCAGCCTCATAGATTTCAATGGGTGTGTGGCGCAGGCCATCGTAGGGGAACGTCCTTCATGGGCAAGAGCTGGTCACTCTCCTGCTTGGCTGCCCTTTGCGTACCCAGACCTGGCCATGGGAGCGGGGGGCAGGACGCCCCCCATGTAAAGGCTCTCCCTTCTGCAGCGGTCAGCGACGTGGGCGGCCGTCCTGGGGAGGAGGGAGCCTGCTGGCAGGCGGCTCCTGCTGCCTCAATGGCCGACCCCACCTTCCATCAACCTGGTGCCCTCCAGATCTTTGGATCGCAAATAAGTCTTCCTGACCCTTGCCCTGCTGGCTGGGCAATGGGAGTTGGAGTCCAAGTAGGGGTGTGGCGCAGCTCCATGGACTCCGTCCCTCTTGTGCTTGGCTCTTTTGCTCGCGCTTGGAAAGCGGGCCAAGCAGCGAGGAAGCCCGAGAACACCTGCGGAACAAAGGTGGTTCCGCCGGCAGCCGTTTTCTGTGTCAGGCGCAGCAGTGTGAAGAAAGGGCTGGCGCAGGCGGCACGGAAGAGGTGGCACTTGCACGCTCTTTGCATGGCGCTCAATTCCTGGCGAGGAAGGGAGTCGGACTCACGGGGAAGAGGACCAGAGTCCAGGGCACTAGGAGGATTCCCACCCCGAAACTGCGTTCCTCACACATCCCTGCTCCAAAACGCCCGGAGGTCGCCACATGGCCTACTGGCAGCAGCATCAAAACAAGGTGGATTCGGGGGCTGGCTGTGGGCCCCCTGCTGGCGTGTGGGTCTTAGTTATTTATTCATTTATTTAAAACTTGTTAAGACCGTTCCTTACCATGGTCTTGGGATGGTTTAACAGTAAGACAACATAGAATAAAACACAGCGTCCTAGTCAGTATCTTAACCAATCAACAATAAAACCCATATTAAAGCAGTCAGACCTTAAAGCACTGGGAAAGTAAAAAGGTTTTAAAAAGGTTTTAGCCTGGCGCCAAAAAGAATACAGTGACGGCGCCAGGTGAACCTCTCTGGGGAACGAATTCCACAATCGGGGCCACCACAGAGAAGGCCCTTCTCCGGGTAGCCACCCTCCTAATCTCCTTCAGGGAGGGCTCCCGGAGAAGGGCATCTGCCCCAGACATTAAGGGGTGGGCAGGCACAAAGGGAAGGAGGTGCTCCTTCGGGAAACCAGGCCCTCAGCCATTTAGGGCTTCACAGGTCACCACCAGCACCTTAAATTGGGCCCAGACTTCAACTGGTAGCCAGTGAGGTGGAAAAGGGCCGGCGTTATGTGTTCCTACCTGCCGGTCCCTTTTAACAACCTGGTGGCTCTATGCTGGACCAGCTGAGGTCTGGAGTCTTCCCAGGTGTCCAGCTGCGACTCCAGCCTTGTGCCTGCCTGAAGAGCAGGTGCCTGTTCAGGTGAGGCCAGATTTACTCCCCTCCGCTCCTCAGGCTTGGCTCAAGGCGAGCTCCCCTTCCGCAGGCTGGCCTTTACCCTTTGCTTTGGTGCAGGTTCAGGGGCAGCACCTCCACGGCGCAGCACGGCAAGCTGCTCTCCAGCACCGTGCCAGACCTGGCAGCCTGGGAGTGCTTGCTGTGCGGAGGAGCCGCCCCCAGTCCCTCCCACGGCACGAGGATGCGTCCCCCGCTCACCGAAGTCGGACAGGTGGTAGGTCTTGCCCTTGAAAATGGCTCTGCTCCCATCTTCCCTTATCTCGGGCTGAGCTAAGTTTTTGGATCGAGCATAATTCTCCAGCAGCTCACTGGGAAGGAGCTGATCTCGCCACTGGCTGGGGCCAGAACTGGGAAGGGGACAAGAGTTCATGGGATCATGTGGTGTTTACACAGAGAACCATTGGAGTGGTGCTGTTTTCCAGAACTGTTCTGTCCTGGGTTGCTGACATTACATACCTGGAAGGAGCCTAAACATGGAAAACGAGGGGAAACTCAGCTGCAGATTTCCAGCGAGAAGTGCTCATTTTTTCATTGAGGTGAAGTGCGGGGAGTCTGTGGGAAAGCACTGAAAGGTGCAAACCAAAGAAACCCCTGCAGCTGCCCAGTCCAGGGAGAGCTTTCTTGTTTGAGTCTGGATCAACCACACCAAGCTTGGGACATGGCCATAAGGCTGGGGGACTTACTATGATCTAATGAAAGCAGAGCTTTTCAGCACCATGAAGTTTATGACAGAAGTGTACACTCAGCGCATGTGATGGGTGCGCTCGCTCGCTCGCTCTCTCTCTCTCTCTCTCTCACGCGCACAATCCTAAATCAGTTCTCTCCAGGATAAAATCACACCTTCCGAAAACGTCTTACACCTGACAAAGCTTGGCCAGCGGTAAGGAGAGGGCTCGAAAGTGTGGCGTCACCTCCTTGCTCCCACCAGGATGTGGGCCCCCTTCTCACCCTTGATTTTTAAGATGGCAATTAATCACTCTTTGGCCGGGAGGCTGCCCTCCAACGCCACCCGCCTCTGGCTTCAAAATAGTGGGGGCGTGTTCTTGAAGGCCACCCTCCGCACTGCCTTCCTTTACATTCCCAGACGAGTTCCTCGTCTTTCAGTCGGCTGAGCAACGGGGGCTTTGGGACTGGGAGGGCTGGCCTTTTTATGACTGGGCGAGCCCAACCTCGCAGTCTTGTGGGGGCCAAGTGCTGGCCGAGGCTGCCGGTGGGCCAGCGAAGGGGCTTGGACCGCCCACAAGCACAGCTGCGGCTGCCGGCCCACACTCGCCCCGTGACGGCGGGGGCCTTGCGACTTACACACAGTACGACTGGGGGAGGCCGCAGCTGGCCCCGTGGCGGGAGAGCAGCCGGTTCTCCAGGTCGATGGTGATGTCCCCGATGACGTCATCGGGGGGAAAGATGTCGAAGTCGCAGAAGGTGATCTTCAGGTCCTTCTCCAAGGGGATGGAGCACAGGAGCTCATACATCCTGCAGAGAGCACAGAAAGTGGGAGAGATCAACCCTTCCCCTCCCATTGCCCAATCTGTCGCATCTGGCTTGTTTGAACCGTAGCCGTTGGTGGACCAGAGTTGTGTAGGTGTCCGTGTCTGTCTTCTTCCTCTGGCAAGGAGCCCCGGAGGGTTGTCGTCCTCACGACAACTGAGCGGGGCTGAGAACCCAGCTCTCGTGGCTCCCCAGCCAAGATGCGGCCCCCAAGCCGCACTGGCCCCGGCTGAGGTCCAAGTCACTGGCGGGGCGCCGGAGGGCAGAGCGCGGCTCTTGGGGGTGTGGAAGGCCCACCAGACGCCTTCACCACCTGAGCGGCTTTGGGGCGTCTCCTGCGCTGCACAGCGGAGGGAGCCGAGCGTGGGGCTGGGACTGGGGCTGGGGAACAGGCCCAGGCTCACCTCCCGAAGACTGGTTCCAGGGTGTTCGGAATATAATCCTCGCGCTCACCGGCCTTTTTCTTCCCCAGCCTGATCTTGACGTAGGGGTCGCACTGCGGGAGGGAATAATCAAGTGGGGCGGGGGGGACTTGGGGGGAAATCACCCCACACGCCCCAGGTGCAACGGAGGAAGGGGAAGGAGCAGGCGGCGAATGGGTCTCCACAGCTGCTGTACTGAACGAGTATTATGGTCCTTGAGACTGGGAAAAAGCAGGCTGCCAGGACACAGTGGGGGAAGGATGCCCGTGCGTGCGTGCCTGGGACGGGTTTGGTCGACTTTGCTATTTATTTATTTATTTATTTATTTATTTATTTATTTATTTAAAGTTTTTATATGCTATCCAATGCTAATGTCTCTAGGCGGCTTACAAAAACCAACCCCGCCCCCCCTGCAGAAAAACCACAAAGCGATCATATACAGTGGTACCTTGGCTCACGAACGCCTCAGTTCATGAGCGAATCGGGTCGCAAACAGAAATTTCAGAAACATTTTGGCGCAGGTCGCGATCTCCGCATCAGGTGATGATGGTGCTCGCGGGGGGGGGAGGGGCGGGTGGCCGCAATCTTTGTTGTTCTTTGTCATTTTGTTTTGAATTTTTGTGATGTAAAAAATGGTTACAGAATGAGCTAACATTATTTACATTGACCCTTATGGGGAAATTTGACTTGGGTCACGACCAGTTTGGGTCACGACCAGAGTCCTGGAACGGATTAAGTTCGTGAGCCAAGGTACCACTGTACAACACACAACATGCAACACTCTGCATCCGATAAACAATGAAGAATGGTAAAATCAAAACTAAAACCAACTAACTGTTAAAATATTGGAAAAATAAAAAGGTCTTTGCCTGATGCCGAAAGAATAAAGCGACGGCACCAGGCAAACCTCTCTAGGGCGTGTGTGTTCCACAGTAGGGGCCACCACCGAAAAGGCCCTTCTCCGAGTAGCTGCCCTCCCGATTTCTTTCAAGGAGGGCTCCCGGACAAGGGCCTCTGCCTCGGATCTCAAGGGGCAGGCAGGGGATATAAATCGACATAAATACATTCTGTAAGATGAGAGGGACCTTTGTCCTGAAAGCAATGAAGATGCTTCTCAGCTTTGCAAGCCTGAAAACAGATCTCTTCAGCCTAGATCTCCCAACAAAAGCATGGGCTCCGCAAAGGTCCGTCCCACCTGCAGGGCGGTGCAGAGGAGAAAACGAGCAGCACAGGCGGGAACGGAACGCTATGGCTGTTACCAGGCCGTTTCTGTCCTTCGGCTGGAGGTTAAAGGCCCGAATAATGTAAACCCGGACCAGACACTCCTGCGAGGTGTTTTCAGGAATCTCCTGGAACTGGCGCGGGGGAGGTGGGATGTTGGGGTCTTCTGGGAGTGGATAGATCCGGAAAAGCCCCTGAAAAGCAAGGCAGCTTTATTTAGGTTGCCAACTTTTTTATGATAAGGCTCCTGTGCCTTTACATAGCTTGACAGGATGATGAGTACGAAAGCCAGGAAGTTTTCTGATGGCTTGAAGATGCTCTGCTTTGCTCTCGCTGAATTTCTGCCTTACAGAAAGAGGTTGAATACAAGAAACCACCCATTACAAACCCTGGGAAGTCAAGTGCGTAAAATAATCTCTGAGGATCCAGGTTTCCATAGAATGGCTGAATGCAGTTCTGAAGACACCAGTGGTGCCATGAGGCCAACACAGTGGCCTTAATGCCCTCCCATTTAGGTGGCCACGTGGATTAGTCTAGTAGCCAAGCATGCAATTCTCACGGATCTTTCCACACCGCCTCCCGCCACCCCTTCCCCATGCTGGACCAAGGCTTTGACAGTTCTGATATTTTTGAGCAGCAGCAAAGCTGTATTTACCCTGATTAAAAGCAGCAGCAGCAAAACAAACCAACAACGCACCCCCACACACACACACACACATGAATGCAGTTTTGCATTTCAGTCTCCGTGAGGGCGCTTGGAGATGAAAGGGCTATGGAGCCAGCTGACACAGAATTCGGGAGGTCTGTAGCTGAGGAGGCCTCTTCTTCCCTGCAGCGCACACCTTGAATTCACCCCCCACCACGGGGTCGTCATCTTTCACCCGTCCTCGGTACAGCCGGAAGGTCTGGCAGAAGTCCTGGAGGCCCTGGAACTCGGGCACTTCCTCCAGCTCACAGTTGTAGATCTAGGAGAAGGAGACGGGCTGCACACAGGTGCCGGGCCCCCGCCCCCCGCCCAGGCACGCGCTCAGTGCCGCGACCTTGTCCACCCCCACAGCCACCGCGGGGCCAGGCCGGGGACAGAGCTTGCACTGCTCGGTTGCTGCGCGCCAGAATTGCTGGGGAGCACACTGACCGCAGAGAAACCGGGGGGCGGGGGGCGGGGGGGGGGGAGATGCACTTCCCTTTGCTTTCCCACCAACTCTCCTCCTCAGATTCCCCCCCTCCGCCCATTTACTGCAGAAACCAGCCTCCCGCACCCTGCACCCTGGCTAGACCCTGCCATCCTGCTGACATGCCCACCTTTACGTTGTCAAAGCCTCTCTCCAGGTAATTTCCACTCTTGGCCAGGTCTCCCACTGAAACATAGTACTTGCTCCACCAGTCAACCTCCTCCTCCTCGTCACTCTTTGCCATCTACAAAGAGAGAAGGTAATTTGGGCCATGCCCACATTTTAAATATTTTTAAATAAGCATGCATTTGTATCTCCATAGCAATTAGTACATAAGAAATGCATAGATGCAAACGTGCAACTTTCTAGCAACTTTCTGAACATGGAGAATACAGACGCAACATCCAGTAAATGTGGAAAGTGTTGTAAATTCTTGAGCCCATTGCATAATAGAGAGTATTTATCATTTCAATTAAAAAAGCGTTTTTTTAACTGTCAAGAAGGATCCCTTTATATGGACAGTTCATGAATTCCATGAAGCAGGTGAGTGAATGAAAGAGCATTTACATCAGCAAAAACTAGGGACTGTTTCTGTGCAACCTTTATCTAAGTACATTGTTTGTTGTTTTTAGTACAATGCTATTGCACACTTAATAGACTACGGTACAGTGTTAATATTTATATGCATTGGGAAAAAATGTGTGGGTTGCTTTATTGTGATACTTGCTTTATTGTAGTGGTCTGGAACCGAACCCGTAATATCTCCGCGGTAGGCATGTATATCATATTTTCCGTGTGCCCCAAAACGTTAATGTAGCATGAGGAAGTGGGTGGAAGCGTAATTGATGTGACAGTGTATGTCTCCAGCTGCAGGAAATGTGGGAAGAACCTGACGTGTTCTTGTATGTTGTTTACATTTAGGATTTGAGTGTGGACTTCTCACTAGTGCTGTGAAGAGACATTTCCCTTTTGCTCTTGTTTTTCTCTCAGATTTGCAAATAAAACATTGAAATAGTTCCTTAAAAGCTAAGTTTTGTGCCAGTACCAGGCAGCTTAGGCATTTAATAGATAATCAGCCACCAGTTTTTCATGTATTTCCTGATCCAAAACACATAGTGGTGTCAACTCTGACATCATGACCCACCTTCTCTTTTTTTCGTTTCCTCCAATGCCACAGCTTCCAGATGCCTCTCTTCTGTCCCTAGAAGTAGCAGATGGCATGGATGAACCCACTCTTCTTGTAAAAGAACCTTCAAGGTTTGTGGAAATGGATTTGGCTGAGAAAGGGTTAGAATCTGCAAAGTTCCAAGGATCCAGAGATAAGCCAGGCCATAGCCGAGAATCAGACAGTCTCAAATCCTGTGGGAAAGTTGAGTGAGTGGCGAAGAAGGACGGTCGTGGGCCTGGCATTGTTCCTTTCCCGGGGTACAGTGTCAGGTCAAGAGCGCAGATTGGTTAAGAAGCATGAGGGCTCCAAGCAACTGGCCCCTAAGCAGGAAGATCCACCCCGAGGGCAACAGGTTTGGAAGGAAGAAGAGCTATCCAGTTCAGAATCAGCTCCTTATCATCAAGCCTCATTTTTCTAATGGCCAGCAGTCTAACCCAGCTTTGTGTGAAACTCGGTTGGAGGCCTGTCCCCGTGGAAAAGGGCACAAGATCGCCTGGAGGGAAGGGCACTGAATTATTGTCTCTCAGCTGTAACAATGCTTACCATTTTGTTCTTCACCTTGGAAATGGCTGTTTGGGGAACAGAGAAATTGGAAAAATAGAAAAAACAATTAATTGGCATGCTCAGAAGAGTGGATGTGGGCAGGAATGATATTTCCCTCCTTGGTTCTGACAGATAGTTTTAGCAGGCAGAAAGCATTTCTGGGACGTATAGTCTCCCCTTTGTCCTTTGGAAAGCTCAAAGGATGCATCCCATCTGCACACTAAGCGGATTGCCCTTCGCTTCTGCTGTGATGGAAACAGGTGCTCCCAGACCAGTTAGACGTGTGAGTTCCAATCAGGGCAAACTATAGCCCAGATGCACCGACAGCCCCCAGGACCCTCTGGTTCTGCCCTTCTGCCCTCTCCTTTGAGGAGTAAAAGGTCAAGGTTTCCCCTTGACGTTACGTCCAGTCATGCCTGACTCTAGGGGGCAGAGCTCATCTTCATTTCCTGGCCGAGGGAGCCAGCGTTTGTCCACAGACGGTCTCTGTGGGCATGTGACCGGCATGACCAAACACCGAAGGGCACGGAACGCTGTTACCTGCTGACCAAAGTGGCACCTTTTATCTACTTGCATTTGCCTGCTTTCGAACTGCAAGGTTGGCAGGAGCTGGGACGGAGCAACAGGAACTCACCCCGTTGTGCAGACTCGAACTGGCGACCTTTTGATCGACCAGCCCAGCAGCACAGTGGTTTAAACCGCTGCGCCACCTGCAGTCCCCCTTTGAGGAGAGGTTGTGGGAATTTGTGGTGCCTGGCTTGGGGACGAGACAATCCCAGGCACGTACAGAGGGAGTGATGTCCCAGAGCAGCCTAAGGTGCCTTGAGGAAGGTTGGGAGGAACGGGGCTCGTTCTGCCTAGACATACATGGGGATGTGCCCTAAGGGCACATGCAGAGAACAGGCTAGTCTTTCAAACCATGTTTCCTGTGCCACAAAGAGGAGCAGGCCTGAGAAGGGTAGAGGTCTCTGGAGGGCAGGGCAAAGGGGGCTGGTGGGAAGAGGCTGAGTCCCCATGCCGAAAGCCAGGCATCGAGCCTCCCGAGAGCTCTCTTCGGTTGCTGAAATCCTTTGCCTTGAGCCAGACAGAGATTTGGTAGGGTAGCTGCTGATACCTCGGGCAGGTAAGGCGTGGGCCTTCCTTTCCTCCCACGGGTCGCAATAATACTGGTTCATGGATCTCACGGTTGCATGGCCCACCACTGGCTTGTACCCGAAGTCCCTGTGATCGGTCACTTTCAGTTCGATCGCAGGAGCGTAATCTTCATCCACTGGTAAGTACTAAGGGAGATCAAGATGGCCCATTTCAACCTTTGCAGGAAGCAGTGAAGGTAGACCCTGGACTTGATTTTCTTGTGGGGACCCCTTTAAACAACTGGGTCTATTACTGAAGACGAAGCAACTGAAGTGACTGCTAACATCTTTCTTCCCTGCCTCACTGCCATTTCATCCTTAAAATTACTTTTAAATTACTGAGAGGGTTGCTCTCAACTACGGTTTGTGCAAATAATCTGAGATAGATCAAACCATTGTTTACCATCCTGGCTTGCTCACTAACTATAGTTTAAACTAACCAGAGTTCCTTGCGTTCAGATGTTATGGGGAATTCTGGTTAATGTTTTTAAATGATTACAATCCAAAATAAGGAAACAATCACAAACACAAACAAGTGTGGAGTGGAAACTGAAATGCTGGGGCATTTCCATTGTGAGGGTGTGGGGTTTCATTTCAGCTCGGATCTCAGGAGCGATCCTCTGGTGTTTGCTCGTGGCCCGGAGAGTTACTCACCACTTTCATGAGGTAGATATTAATTGGGAAGTTGGGGTTCTCCTGGAAGTTCTTGATGGGAGGCGTTTGAATGGATTCCCCTCCACACTCCACAGTGAGGCTGGGGTTGGTAATGGCCAGCAGGTTGTAGTTCTTCATGTCCCGGAGACCCCAAGCCAGGATCTGTGGGAAAAGGTTGTGATGAAGATGTAGCAAAGCTGCCTTGGGACTGAGAGGGGGAAAGCAAGAGAGACGCGTGGAGGCCCAGCCCTACCCGCATGTTAAAGAGGCTGAAGTGCCTCCTGGGGAAGAGGGAGAGCCGGCCTTGACGCCTCAGTGGACCAGTCCAGAAGAGACAGCAGCACCCTTTGGCTTGCAAGGAGTGCTGGGAGGCATGTGCGGGGGGAGCTATGAAAACCACGCAGGATTGCAGGTTGTGTGAACCCGCTCACCTCTACCAGCTCCTCTTTCGCTGCCCACAGTGCAAAGGACCCCCCCCCCCCGTAGTGCAGAAGCTGGTCCTGAGAGGGATGTACCCCCCGATCCAGGAGGGAACATGCAGCCTTATCTGTTCCTGAATCAGACTAACCCCCTTTAAAGCCACCCAGTTCAATGCCCGTCCTGCCAGTCGGGGAGGGGCTTTTATTAGGGTGTTGTTGCCCCATTTTTGTAGGCTTTGGGGCTCACCTCCACGGCCATCAACTTCAAGATGGGTCGGATTCCTTTAGGGATCATATAAATCCCATCCTTCCATGGTGGAGGGGGATGCTTTCCCAAAGATCCATCCTGTAGGGAGCAGATGCAGAGTTAGGCTTTCCTTTCCAAAAGGAAAAGAGGTGCACATGAACACAACAAGGATAGAGCCCCCCAAACCCCGCCCCCCAAGCGCCCGAATATTAAATCTCTCCTTCCCAGAAAGCGAGCCTTCAGGGGGCCTTTAACTTTCTGGAATGGGGGAAATAGCGCAAAAGCTGGGAAACTACCAAACAACTGATGGGTGGGGAAAAGGGGGCGGGGCCCGGGAAAGGGGGCGGGACCAGGGAGGGCTGCATTGTGCCCTCTCAAGGGCCAGGTTTTGCCCCTGTGCCTAGTCTCTCCAAAGTCTGAAAGCAGTTTGGAAGAAGCGTTGCTTCCCAAGCTGCGCTTGCATGTGGCTTTCTTGCACCCTGCAATCATCTCCAGTCAAACAGGCAGGGCAGGGTTTGGAAGCCTGCAGAACCTGTTGACTTGGAGGCACGGGGGATGAGCGGTTGAACAACGAGTCCTCTTTCAAACCGTCTTATGCTTTCTGAGGATGTCACAAAAGTATCCTCCATCTCCAGGTTTCGCAAACTGTTCGTCTGGTCAGACAAAACTCGGGACTCGATACCTGTGGGACTGAGATGGGCATTGCTCCCAGTGTGCATTCCCAGGGTTGGGATCTGGACTTGGGGGAGGAGGAGGAGTGGGGTAGGGCCAATGCCAGATGTTGGGATGAGAGAAGTAGAGGTGCTTTTCCCAAGGCCAGACTCCCCAGGTGGACAGGAAGCCTCTGAGAATGACCAAGATGGACAGCTGTCGGTAAGGGTCGTGGAGCAGGGGAATTTCTCAGGGACAGACGAGGCAGGTATCCCAGGTTGCAATCTCAGTGGGGGGAGGGGCAGTGCAATTAAAGGATCTGCATGCAAAGAGGCAGCGCGTTGGTCTCCGGAAGGCTCCTCCTGAAAGGACAGGGCCCAAACATACTTAAAAGGAGAGTTCCTAGAAGTGGATTCCTAAATTGGGCTCCACAAACCACTCTGAGCAAGCTCAGAGATCTATTTGGGGTAATTTTATTGGCCGAAAACATTGGTCAATAAAGGATGTTTTGCGATTACTTTGTGCAAAGCACACTTTTCAGCTGCTATTCTGTGACTGATGCAAGAAGCAAAGGCTCTGTCTGATTCTGAGGTACAAGTATCGCAGAAATGTGGGAACTGTGGTTTGGCAGGTGGCTGAGCTCGGTGGGAGCCTCCCGGGACCGACCTTCTTGTCGAGGAGGAGCTCAAAGGCGGCCAGGAGCTGGCCCGTGTCCTCCCGTTCCCTGCTGACCGGGTGCTTCTTCAGACGGGGCAGCCTTCGTGCTTCCAGGTTCAGGCACACCCTGGGAGTGCACAGAGTCCTCCCCATGAAGTAGCTAGAGCGGCCCTAAAAGGGAGAGCACACGGGCTGGTGAGGCCGCTGTGGGTCCTGGATGCCTGTGGCGACTGGGATTGACCAGCCGTACCCCAGCTGGTTCCCTCCAGGTGTGTGGCCGACAGCCCCCATCATCCCCAGGCAGCATGGCTTGTGGCCGGGGGTGGTGGAATTGTAATCTCACACCAGGGTGAGCGAGACAACTGGCTGTGAAAAAGCAGACGGAGAAGAAATTTTGGACGTGCTCAAGTTGCATCCTGAATGGCATAGTAAGAGCTGCCTCCAACACAAAAAATCAATTTATTTATTTATTTAAAATGTTTCTAGACTGTCCCATTATGGAAGTCTCGGGATGGTTTAACAATACAAAATGTAAAAAATTTAAAACACAGTGTCGTAAAATTTCAGCTAACAAACCCCAATTAAAACAGTCAGGTCTTAAAACTTTGGGAAAATAAAAAGGTTTTGGCCTGGTGCCGAAAAGAATAATGTGACGGCACCAGGCGAACCTCTCTGGGGAGCCTATTCCACAATCGGGGCCACTGCAGAGAAGGCCCTTCTCCAGGTAGTCACCCTCCTGATCTCCGTCAGGCTAAATGACTCCCTGAAAAGTGGATTTCTGGTGCAGAGTGAGAGACAGACAGACCTTTCCCATTGGGCACTGGCTCAATTCACCAGAAAAAGGTAAAATCTCAATCAAGTGGACTTGGGCCACGAAGGAACAGGGGCACACAGCCACCTGACTGATTCGTTCTAGCCATCCCATGCCTCGCCTCAAGCCTACGTACCCATCCTCTTGTGTTACCCAATTTTGCACTTCAGAAACGACTATGTGAGCCAAAATATGATTAGTCTTCAAAACTTGCATGTCTCTGAATTTTGTGATGGAGTTCGCCAATCAAAATATGTGGCTATTTGGAGAGAGAACACTAAAAATGCATTGCAAACCCAAAATTGTTTGCATTGCTTCTTAGCAGAAATGGAATCTATTAGGAGAAACATGCACAAAAATGCTAATGAATTTCCAGGCAAATTGTTTAAAAATCTCAAAGTTCCGGATGAACCAAACTAAAGATCGGGAAAATCTGACAAGCAGAAGACCTGAAACAGGTCTTCATCCATTTCATGGACAGTTTCATCCATCCCTGGTCATACGCACAGTAGGATCATAGTCAAAGATCTCCACTGCCATGAAAGGCGGGTCTTGCTCAGTTGCTCGGGGGTCGCCATAGATCAAGATGTTTTCGAAGAGCAGGGTCTGGTCCCAGCAGGGGTGCAGCGTGCCGGTGATGGCTTCCGTGCACTGGCTCATGTGGAGGAAAGAGACGTACGCCACGGGATCTACCAGTGGCAGAAAGTCAGGAGATGACCGCGCATCGATTTAGTTTGCTGAGACCCACGAGAACGAGCCAATAAAAGAGACGGCGAGGTGCTGCCGGAGTGAGCCACCCACAGACGCGAAGTCCCCCTGGAGAAGGGCTGGAAGGGTGGGGATTCCTCGCTTAGGAAAGCGGCCCGTAAGGGCAGGGAACTCGTGAGGAAAGCTGGCAGAATTATTCGTGTAACACAAGCTTAGTGGGAGGAACTCTGTCCCTTCTCAAAAACTGGCTCACACAATAGAACGGAATGGCAGGCGATTTGGGGCATGCTTCGGGACGTGTGGTTTCACAATGAGGCGCTTCCCCCCATTTGGGGGCCATGCCATCAAGAGCGAATAAGCAGCGGTGGTGGGGAGCATCCGCTTGTTCAGCAAAGCCACTTTTCTCATCTAATTTGCCCTCCCAAAGCTGCTGCTAACTCTGCTGGAGAACCGCCCCCACAAAAAAAATAAAGGCAGGGTGTGATACAGGTGGCTGCATTTTTTTTCTAGGGAGGGAAGCATGGGGGGCGGGAAGTCACGCCAGGACGTCCACGCGTGTGGGGGGTGGAGAAGGATCCCTCTGGCTCCCCCAGCACTGCTGCCTTGATCCCATTCAGCCTTTGAAGGGAAGAAAATAAACTGGGAGCAGTGGGTCTCCACAGTGCCTGGCGAGGTCGAACCAGCGTACGGCTGCCCCGGGAAGAAGCACCGGGGATCCGCAACGGGCGCACATCCGAAGGGCACGGTGCGCATTTGGGTGCTGTGGGCGATTCGGAACTTGTTTGGCCGGGGGTGGGGCAAGGGGTGCGGAGAACACGGCAGGTGTGCCCCCCCCCCGGTATTGTATTCCAACCTGCTGAGCCCTTCATGGCCACGCCTACAAGGTCCCTGGCCTGGTAGATGTAGCAACGTAGCTGGAAATAGACCGGACCTGAAAGACGGAGAGGTTGGCACAACGATCGCTCTCCTTCTGGCTCGTTAGGCGCTTTCCCGCTCAATGTGCCGCCAGACTCTCTGCGAGAGCCGCTGAGAAACGGAAGGAGGCGCCGTGCTCTGCATGGAGCCGAAGCACCGCAGATGCTTTAAAGGTGCGCCCCCCCCCCCCCCGCTCTCTCTCACAAGTCGCTGCTTATCAAAAGGACTCCTGCAGAGCCCATAACCTGAAAAAAGCATCCACGATCTACTGGTGAGTTTCACAATTCTGCAGATTTTCAACCCGATCCAATACAAATTTCCACCGATCAGCTAGGTAAAGTGGGCCGCGAAGGGGCTCATTTGTGCAATTTATTCTCACGACGGTTCAGCATATCGTTACGTCTTTCAGATCCTGGAGGCTTTTTTCAGACTTGTTGAGGGGCCGTGCCTTCGGTTGGTTTGGCAAAACTCTGAGCAGAGGTTTGGGCGCTGGCAAGGAGCTCCTGCCCGGGACGTCCGCACTGGCCACGTTCTGCTGGGAGCTCTCTGTTTCCCTCCGGCGTTCCAGCGCCTTGGATTCCCGTCCCTGCCAGCTTTCTGGCAGTGGTGCTGAGGGTGATGCGTCAACTGAGATAAGGCGATGGGAGGGGGGCTGAGAGAGGGATTCTGCCTGACAGAATTTATTTATTTTTATTGATTAGATTCCCATCCTGCCTTTTTCTTTTTTTAAAGAGCTCAAAGCAGCTGACACCCTTCTCTTCCTGCTCTCCTCACAACAGCCCTGTGAGGAAGGTCAGGGCAAGAGTCTGTGACTGGCCCAGAGTCACCCAGCTGGTTCCGTGGCTGAGCTGGGACTCGAACCCAGATCACCTGCACCTCCAAAGGCGGTGCAGGAATTGTGTAGACTTACTCCAAAGCAAGTCATTCTGAACCCACAGGGCCCTGCCCTTTCTCTGCACACAATAACTCGGTTAATTGTTTACATGCATTTGAAAAAAAAATCATGCATTTAATATTTTTTAAAAATCAGGGACGTCTGATGAATAAAAGCCTGCCTGTTTAAGGTTGCACAACGCCACGGAACTGGGCGCCAGGGGGCAGCCCCACAGAAAGGAATGGCATGTGTCACCACAAGGGGTCGGGGCCGACTCTCCCCTAGGAGAACAACAATGCGTGGGGGCTTCATACCGCAGGAGAGGTGCAGGGCAAGGGGGGGGGCGTCCTTGCTCGCCCTGCCCCTCTGATTTGGACTTGAAGGACCAAGGCCAGCGGGCCCACGGCAAGGCGGTTGTGAGAGAGCACAGTTCTCCACATGGCAGTTCACAACGCAGCTCTGCTAAAGGACTGGGCTTAACTTCCGATTTCCCAGCGGTTGGACAGATGCCAGTTTGGATGGAGGGACAGAATGTGCGTGTGGCGTGTTTTTGTAGATACAGAGACCCACAGAGCAGGCAGCGGGCATGGGGCAATACCCAGCCCCCAAATAGCCTTTAAGGATCCTTGATATCCAGAGGAGCCGGTGCATCTTTGTTCTCACACCTCAGCCCAATTTTTTGCCAATCTGCAGCCGTCTTGCCCGGGATAAAAGGAAACAAAAGATTTCTGCAGTTCAAAAAGGCCCCGACCTAACCTATTCTGCTTCTATAAGCTGCAGGATCTGGGCATTTTTCCCCACATGCAGGACGCAGAATGTGGGTGCCCCTCCCGGCATGGGCCCGTCTGCAGGGATGCTCACTCTTGAAGACGCAGAAGAGAAGGGGCGTGTTCATCGCCAGCAGACTCGGCAGGGCCAGCTTCCCCGGCTCTCTCTCCTCTTTCTTTTCTCCCTTTGCCCCCACCTCCATCTTTTTGTCTTTTGCTTGGCCGTCGACGTCCACCCCCTGAAAAGGAGACAGCTTGAAGCCACGCGTTGCGCTTGCAGGGGCGGTCTGGAGCCTACGAGGTAATGCAATCCTCACCAAGTCCAGCACCGCTTGCCTCCCCTTGGGCACCCCGTCCCCTGCAGCAGAGGCCCCCCGACCTCTCTGCTGCGCCGCATCTGCCCAGCTGGGGGGGCTGCATCGGGCCCTGTTCGGAAAGCAAACACCCTCCGTTGGAGGCGGCGCCTCGCCTTACCAGTGACCCCTCCAGTAGGAAGATGGGGGTCCCGTGGCCAGGAGCCACCGGGACAAGCTTCCTGCGCCAGCATCGCCGACGGAAGACGTCATTGGATTGCCGCTGCAGGTGGAACCTCCATCCGTAGAGTGGGGCGTATTCCCACGACTCTTCTTTCGACCTCATGTCCGAATGCTGCGGGAGACGGGTGAGCGGGCAGGGCGGAAACACACCGAGGAAAGATGGGGGGACTGTGGCTATGCTCTCTCCCCTACCTTCGCCACCGCAGCCGGCGGCAGTGCCAGCGGGGGATGACGGGAGCCGCGGGGCGAATTTCCAGAGGGCAGCAGCTGCACCCAAGCTTGGGATGAAAGCGGCATCCTTGGCCCGGGCTCTGCAACGAAACCCTGCTGGCTTCACGCCCAGCCGGAGCCGCACGGAGCCGCACGAAGTGCCGCGAGGCGCTGTGCTGGCGCAAACTGGCTGGCTTGCACTGGCCGCAGTCGAGAGCATCTCGGAGCAAAGCCGTGGGCAGCCCAGGCTTCGAAGCCAGCTTGCCGGGGGCTTATCCCGGCGGCCAGTCCCTGCCCTGGCCTTATGAAGCCCTGGCCTCCGGTGTGCCCACCCCTTTCTGGGGACTTTGGTCTCCTACAGCTCGCCCGCGTGAATGAGCCCTTTCGTTCCGCCTAGCCTCCCTCACAGGGTTGTTGTTCTAAGGCTAACAAAGAGGAGGAGCCAGATTCTGTAAGCAGACCCTCATTTCTTTCGAGAAGGAAGAAGGCGGGACAGAAAGGTGATCGCAATTACCAGCTGAAGGAAAGAGGCCATGTGGTGTTCTCGGTTCTCGCTGACCAGATTCCGGGAGCGCTTCCGGAGCCAGCGCCGACGTCGGTGAGTGTGGTACGTCTTCTCTGCAGCATTCCAGGCATGGGGAAACTCGGCCGGTGCGATCGCAACACCGTACTCCCAGCCTGAGGAAGGACGCGTGTGCTCATGAGGACCCCGGAGAAGACCCCAGAAAGGAGCCGTTTCTTCTCGGGGCCACCCTGGGGGACAATGGATGGAACTGGAGACTTGCCAGCATCATCCACTGCCCGGTTCACCTCCACCTTCCAGTCTTCCACAAAGACCCAGCCGGGGGGACACACGATCTCTTCCTTTGGAAATGTAGGAGCACCGCTCTAGAATGGAGAGTCCAAGCATGGGATGAAACGGGTACCCAGGAAGGAATAACCAGAGAGTTACACAGCGTGCAATTTTCTGGCAGCCTGCAAAAGTGACTGCATCGGCATAGGATGCCTGCAGTGTGGGAAGGACTCCGAACGACTAGTAATATTTCAGAGTTGTTTTGTGTAGGATTGTGCATGGAATCTCATTTGGGGTGGGAAGCTGTGGGATTTCCTCACTGGCACCCCAGACTCTGCTCCCCTGTCTCATTTCCTGACGTTTGCCTCACGGGGTGTTTGTGCAGGTGTCCCGCAGGAAGCGATCTCAAATTCAGTTCTGCACATACGACTTAAGGGCCTTGCATACTTTGCTGCGAAGAATTTCATACATTCTCTTGCATGTGGAAAGAATTATGGACGTCGCATGCTTTGAGGAAAGGTTCCTCTAGTGTTCCTGAGTGTGTGCAGAGTTGACCTCACCCTGGCTAACTTTCTAGCAAGGCCCGAGTGAGGGAAAGATGCCAAGGAGCACAACAAAGCCAAATTCTGACCAGGTCTGGACATCCCTCGGTTTGCATTGCTCCAGGGAATATGTCGATGCTGACCTTAGGGGTGCTGGCAGCAAGGAGAGAGTCGGAGCAAGGGAGGCATATTGGAATTTCTAGATTTAGGGGAATTTAGTGGAGGCAATTCTGGTGTGAAGTCATGTCCTAGCATAGACTAGGGTCCGAGGAATGATCCCCTTCTTAGACCCCCTTCACTCAGAATCTGGGGATTACCATGGCCAGGAAAAGGCAGGGTGGGGGGAGTTGATTGGGCAGCACAAGTGGAGAGAATTCCTGAAAGGTGGGTAGCTGAGAAATTTCTGGCATCATAAAAGGGAAAAGGTTTCTTCTGCCACAATCCTGCTCTAGCCCCAGTGGGTCTCCCAGCCTTTAAGCATGGAGAATAAATAAGACTTGAGTTCCCCTTTCACCTCAAAGATTCATTCGCCTTGTTTCCATTCCCAAGTATTTTTCTTTCCAAATAGGAAACGTGTGCTTTTGAGTACCTAAATTTTTAGGCATGCACCCAATTGCGGACTCCCCTCCTTTGACTAAAGTAAGAAAATGTGTATTTTTCAAAACAATTTCAAGGATTGGGAATTGGAGAGTCCCCCCCCCCCCAAAAAAAGTACCCTCCTGCATGTTTATATTTGGGACAAATGTTGATGCTTTGCCAATTGAAATGCAATTCACAGGCGCTTCTAGTCCCGCCTCACTCACTGCGTTGCTGCAGGGGATGGAGGCTGGTCTCCAGCGGCGTCCCGGTTCCCGGCTCTGGTTCTCATACACTTCTTCCAGAACTTCGGTGTGGTTTGTCTCTTTGTCCAGCAGCAGCCTGGGCAGAATCAGGAGGGGCACAAGACGGTGCCTTTGACTAGCCAGAAAGCGAAACTGCCTTTCTGAGGTTCCGGGGCCAGAAGCACTGGCTTTAGTATCCTTTCGATGAGAAAGCCCGTGAGACTGCTGGCATTTCTGTGAAATGTATTTTCTCTAGGTACCTAGAGAGAGTTGGCTTTGTCCACCCAGTTTTGCCTTCTGGCTGGCAGTGGCTGCCCAACCCATGGCAGTGGCAGAGAAACGAGAAGTCACAGAGACAGAACCCAGAACTTTTGCATGGAAAGCCGAAGGTCAGTCTGCTAAAAGACTCATCTGGGAACCGAATCCAGGGATTTTGGCTCACAGGACCAAAAATTTAAGGTGTAAACAGCTGAAATCCTTTTGCAACTGACTAAGGTGGGCAAGAAAATATGGGTAACAGGGCCTTGTCTGTCATGGCAGTCTCACTATGAAGTATGCTCCCCAGGAAAGCTGCCCAGCCCCAAATTTATTTTCCTTCTGCTGCCTCAAAAAAGCAGAGCTCTCTGAGCCGGCTGCTGGGTTTGCATTCCTGTTGTTCTGCCTGTTTTGGATGGGGAAATATTTTTCTCATACTTTTAAAGAAAATCCTGAGGACTGATTTAGTATTTTCTTCCCCGCTATTTTGCTGGGTTGTTTGTTACCGGGTCACATTCCAGTTCTTTGTACTGGTGCATTTTGGATTTGAGTGTGAGGCACAGCTGAATTTTTGCAAGAAAGGCCAGATAATGCTCAAAGCCGGATGTGCCCAAATGCACCCGCAGCTTGCCTCTCACCTCCTCTGAGGCTCCACGGCCCAGTCACCGGCCCACTTCCACCCCGCAGGAGGCTGGAACCTGTCCTTGGGGAGGCTGATTTGCCCGGTCACGTCGGAAAAGTTGGGGTGCGGCATCAGGTCCCGGACCCCCCATACCCCGTGTGTCTTCTTCTGGTTCTCATACTGAAGGCGGGGAATGAAAACACCAGCAGGTCAGGAGAGCTTCGGTTTACGGCATTCCCATCCCATCTTCCCTCCAAGGAGCTCGGAGGGCACAACGGGGCCTTTCCCCCACCGCTTCCCTTCGCCATGACCCCGCAAGGTGGGTTAAGCCGGGAGCCTGCCTGGCCCAAGCCCCCTCGGGGAGCCTCCGGGCTGCGAGGCAGTTGGAGCTTGGATCTCTCCTGCAATCCAAGTCGAAGGGGACCCATGGGGCGGGGCTCAGGGGCCTGGCTCCCTCACCGTCTCCGCGAAGACGAGGATCCTCCCTTCGCAGCACTTCATGAGCTCCGCGCTGTCGGCCATCCTCCCCAGCCACAAGCGCACCCGGAGCAGGGCGGGGACGATGTCGGCGTCCCGGTCGCTTGGTGCACCCTGTGTGGAAGCGGCCAGAGAATTGCACGCTCTCCTCCTTGCACTGCAGGCCGGCTGAGAGCCGCTTCATCACCAAGAGTGATGCTGTTTCCATGGCTTTGAAGAAGACCAGGATGTTTTTAGCCCACGGTGCTGCTGAGTGATTAGTGAGCACCAAAGGCTTGGAACCGGGAGGGAAGCACCAAGGTTCGACATTTGCCAGATTGCTGGCCCCGCAGGGTAGGATCACCTCCCTCCTGCCCGCCTCCGCGTCCCCTCCTCCCCCGGAGGCATCTTTGTACCTGCAGGAAGATGGTCTGGGTTTTGCCACACTGACTGCCCGTGGCGTGGGGACCGGCCTTGGAGAACATGATTGTGTGGCACTTCACCCGCGCGTAGGCCACCCGCCGGTCGTCACAAAGCATCCAGATAATCACATCCGGGATGCTTATCTCAGTCTGAAGGAAGCAGGAGTATATGGAGAGCCAGCGCTCGCTTGCTCGGGCCTTGCCGGCACGCCTTCGGAGAGGTTAAGGGGGCCTGAGGCTTGGGGAGTGAGGGCTTTTTGCTGGTGGCCCCGCTACTCCGCACAGCTCACCTGGTGGGCTGGGAGAGTAAGCAGGGAGAGGAGAGGCTGGGGGCCTAGTTATGCTGTAACATTTGATCCTGCATCCTCACTCACAGCAGGGTGAAGACCATCCCGTGCGGACTCTCAAGGGCCAGAAGGCCAGGAAACGGACGCTAGGGAAGCTGCACTAATCGCTGAGGCCAGACGTGACGCTGTGCAGCATCGCAGCCTGTGCTTGCTTCCAAGCAACGAGAGAGCCTGGTTCCGCACAGGAAGTCTCCTGCCATGGTGCAGCGAGGCTCAGGTGCTTCAGAAGGCAAGCCCGACCGGGGGCATCCTTGCTGGTCCAGGCCCTCCATCTTCCCCCCCTGGATTTGGCCTTGAAAGACCGAGGAAAAGGGTGAGCCCACAAAAGGGACCTTGTGAGCAAGCACTGCTGGGGCCATTGCACAACGTCCTCACAATTTTACAGCAGTTTTGTTAAGCCACTGGCCTTTGCCTTCCGTTTCCTGGCTGTGTGGCTTTCCAGAAACAGTTAAGGGCCGCTCCTCTTTCGGACAGTGACCTGGAGCTGCAGGGGCATCCGGGTCGGATAACAAACCACCAGGGGACCATTGGCAGGTGGGACTGGGCAGAGCACAGAGCGAGTCTGCAGCTGACCGCTCGTCGTCTTCCCCACTAGATGAGCCAGCGAACATTCGCAAAGGTGCATCTGGACATACAGATGAGCAGAAGCAAATTCCACGCATTTGGGAGGGGTGGTGCACGAGAGGGTTCAAGCCCTTCTGAGCAAGCCCTCCAGTCCTCCCCACAGAGGGGAGATGCCTTTTATTTTATTTGCGTGGGAATCATGCGTGCACGGAAATTAGCATGTGCAAACACCTCCTCCTCCGGGGTGCTAAAAGCATATCGGGATGCGGGCTTGGGCTACCTCCTTCGTGACTAAGGCGATCCGGTGCAGCCAGGTATCGGCTTTCGTTATCATTTTCTTCAGAGGGGTTTTGCAGCTCATCTTCTCTGCAGCCCTGCCGATTTTCAGGAGGAGCTGGCTCCGCAGCTTCCTCATCTGGTGGTCCAGAAGGGTGGCCGGTGTTTGGACCGCCAAGCCAGGCAGAGGCCTCCTGAGGACGGAGCATGCAAAGAGTGTTGGTGCAGAGCTGTACCGGGATGTGGGGAAGTCAAGCGGACCCTGCCTCGAGTTCAAACGTTCAGGGATGGCTCTGGCTTTGGGTGCTCCTGGGGCAAGACACTCTCAACGGGGTCTCCTCCACGGCTGAGCCCAGCTCGTACCCACCTACACAACCTCTTTCTTTGGGCCCAGTTTGTGTGATGCCCTCACAAGCACTGGCTCCTTCCCCTTCCCGTGCTCTTTTTCCTTCCCCGGCCCCTTCTTCACACCTGTCTTTGATCACTTTTTCAGAGACAGCAGGAGAGCACACAGGCCAAGGCGTTCTGGCCTCCAGATGTGTCCAGGGACCTCCTGCTGAGGAACGGGCGCTGGCAGGAACACAGAATTTGCTGCTTCTTTCCCCAGCAGCCGTACTCTGGGTACTCATTTCCACAAGGCATCCGGGAGAAACCAAGATCTCTTTCCTGGGCAGCTTGGATAGATGAGAAACTGGGCTTCCCTCCATCAGCACGTATCATGCGACACCTGCTTGCCCTGAACTCCACCTCTCATTTTGATGATCGCAGTGCCAATTTGTAGGGGTCATTTTGAACCCTTTTTGTTTCCATCTTCCTAGACGGTTTGGTGACCTGCTCACCAAGCAAACCGTCACTCCTAATTCCAGATCATTTTTGAGCAAAATCAAAAGCACCAGTCCCACAATAGATGCTTGTGGGGCACAGTGAGTTTGCCCAGGAGTCTTTTTAATGTGGAACTTTGTCAAAAGCGCTTGGGAAGTCCAAATAAACAATGCCTGTTGAATCACTCCTGTCCACAGGTGGACCGACACTCTCACAGGTTGGCAATGGAGGACGCAGCTTTGCAGAATCCCGGCTGATTTTTTGCAGTCGAGCCTTTTCCTCCTTATATTTAATAATAGTTTCTTTAATCATGCTTTCCACCAATTTACCCAGAACAACTGTCAAGCCAGCCAGTCGAAAGTCACCCAGATCCTTGTTGTATGTTCCTCCTTTAAAACTGATGCTACATTTGCTGCTCTACAATTTGACTGCACCGCGTCCGATCTTAGGAGCACGCAACATATTTTCATTGGAAGATCAGCGATTGCACTTCGGAGTTCTTTAGGAACTCTTGGATAGATCTCTCCTGGGCCCAGTGCTTTCTTTTTCCCCAAGAACCAAGGAGGTGCTTGCTTTTGCGATGCACAGCTTGCGGTACTGATGCCGCTGCAAAAAAGCTGACTGCATAAAAGGCAGCTTCTGAAAGGGAGAAAGCAAATCCACCTCTGCTGGCAGAAGCCCCTCCCTGCCCACCACTCACCTGCAGTCTTCCACCAGCTCTTTCTGAAGCTTCTTCCAAGCAGTGGCCACCGATGGGTCGCTGGGCGTGCTGATGGCCCTCAGAGCATCCAGATTCTTCTTCTGCCAGGAAGGAAGCACAGGTCCATGGCTGGGCAGCCCGGAAGCTCACGGTGGCTACTCACTCTCCCAGATCGGTCCTGGATTAGCAGCAGAAGCTCTCTTGCTGCTACGAGGGTCAGACTGGGGCCTGCGGTGGCAGAAGGCCCCGTGGACAGGGCAGGGGGCCATGGTTTTGCCACCTTGTACCCGAGTCACGTGGCTCATGGTGATGCATACCAGAGCCAGCACTGATGCCCCCCTTGTGAACTTGCAAGAGGCATCCAACAGGCCCGAGCAAGACCCTTCCCAATTCCAGCTGGGTCCCAAAAGCCAAGACAAGCTTTGGAGATGCTGTTCTTTTCCTTGGACTTCACAGTTTAAGGCACCCGTTTAACTCTAAAGAGCCTTTTAGCAAAGCTGGGGGGAGAAGCCTCTGCCCATGTAAAGAGCTGAATCCAGACTGGGAACTTCTGCATGGCCCCTCCCTCTCAGGAAGGCTCCTGGGTCCACCCCCATGGTGCTCTTGTTGGAAAGCTGGGAGGCAAGAGCGACAGAGACCCTCCAGCTGGGCAGCCCATCTCTCCCGGCGGCTCCTTCCTGGCTCCCACATCCGCTCCCCTGAACACCCTCCTGTCTTCCCCAAAATGGACCCTGCAGCTTGCAGGAGCATCAGGCGCACAGCCCCCTGGCTCCCACCCCACTCCAGAGGCGAGCGGGTCTCCCCCGGCACCCCGGCAATGTGCCAGAGACCGGCCCACTCTGCGCCAGCAGGACCCTGCTCGGAGACCAGGAGGGCCACGGGATGGCGCATGGCTTGTGTTTCTGTCGCGCTGCCCGTGCTCGTCGCGGGGCTTCGGCGGCAACCGGCACACCTGCTCCGCCCCAGCCACTCCCAGACTTACCAGCCTGCTCTGAAGCAGCTGCATGACATTCAGCGAGGCCATCCGGTAGCTGACGTCCTCCCACAGGGAGGTGACGGCCACCGTGGGCTTTGTGTCATACCACGGCAAGTAGTAGTAGAAGTTACCTGGAACAAACAGGTGGCTCGGCTTGGCCTGGAGCCCACGGCGGGGGGCCGTCCCGCAGCGAGCACACGAAGCGGCTCGAGCCCTCTGCTGAGGAGCCAGGGCAGGGCATCGCTTCGGACGCTGAGCGCGGGCCAGGGAAAGCCGGGCCTGGGTCCTGCCCAGCGAACCCGGGCTGGCCACACTCGCCCTCCAACCTGCCTTGCAACGTCCTGACAAGAGGCGGTGAGGGGAGGCCATGAGCAACTGGGAGGTGAGGAGGATAAGGGTGAGGCAACCAGGTAAACGGAGCCCCGGGGAGCTGAGCACGGGGCATGCGCTGCCAGGCTTGCCTGCTGCTCTGCTGAGTCCCACCGTCTCCAAATAGCCCTGCCCTGCCCTGCCCTGCCCTGCCCTTCCCAGGAGCTCCTCCCCAGCAAAATCCCTTCTCAACCCAACCATCTTTCGCCCTCCAGTCTTTGCAGAATATAAATGTTTCCTGATGACTAAACAAGGGCCGGTTCCTTAGGGTCCTATCAGAGAGACACAAGAGGGTCGGAAACGTAATTAAACCTCTGTCAAGAAGGTCAGGATTTGTAAAGATAAGCCTGGAGGCAAATCGTTTGGACACCAGACACCCTGAAAGGAAGTGCGGGTCAAGATACGCATGTGCAAACAAATGATATCTCGGCTACGATGCTTTCTGCTACTTAAAAAAATCGTATTAAACTAACAAAAACAATGCAATTGATATAGTAACAATAAACATAATTAAACTATACGTCAACATCAGTGCTACCTCCACCAGGACCAACAACTCTGTTTACTTAATGGAAGATCATTTATTCATTCAGGCTGCCCCACTTCCCTTCCAGAACTGCACTGACTCTTGTGCCGATTCACACCCCCTTCCTTTCATTAAAACATCGTCAATAAAAGGTCTCCAATATTTTCAAATTTGTTTTCACTTATCAAACCCTTTTTCCATTTAATATCACAGCTTAACGTATCATTAATAGCTACCTTCCAAACTTCTTTATACCAGCCAAGGTGATTTCTGCTACTAATCCTTACAAAAAGCAAACCTTATACATTCATTGTGCCGCTGTTCCCCACTGGAAGGGGGCACGCTGTATTGCTAGTGTGAATCTACGAGAAAGAGTCTGTTTCATGCAAGGCGACTTGCTGGAGCCGCCTGCCCCTCCCGCCGGCGCACCGCGAACGAGGGCGGCGCCGTGGCCCTGGTACTTGCCGTCATACACGGCATCACTGTACTGAGTGGTCGAGGCGCAAGGTCTGCATGTCCCGTCGAATTTGTTGCCGTAGTTCCCAATGCTGACCTCAAACTGGATTCGTTCTGTGATATCGGGCAACATGGTAGCCGAGTAAAAGATGGCGCAGAGCCCATATCGGATCTGGGGCAAAAAGTACTGGGGAAGCAAAAAAGCAGTGTAAGCTGGTTGGCCAACATCTCCGATTTCATAGAATCCCAGAAGAGTAGAGTTGGGGGGGGGGCAGAGGGCCATCAAGGGCAGCCCCCCGCTCAGTGCAGGACTCCCAGGTAACTTTGGTCACCCCAGACATTTTCCTTTTATTTATCAATGTTTTAAAGTTCCTGTTTATACCGCCCAGATTCCATGTGTGTTTTCCTGTGTCTGAGTGAGGCTTGGACCATATGCTAGCAGCAAAAAGCCCCACCTGGTTATCCAGAATCAATGTGACCCTCAAGCCCCTTGCAGCTTTTACCCAAATCTGCACTCATGAGCACTTAGGTCATGAAGAAGTTCTTCGCCTTTAATGCACCACAAGGTTCTGTTGTTTTCTCTGCCACAGATTAATGAAACTTCTTTTCTGGACATAACGTATAACACATTTATTTCTCTTGCCTTCCTGTTAAATATCCTCAGGCTAACTGTAACACCCCGTTAAAAGGACCCCAAAATCAACACCAAACAACATGCTAAAAACGCCACCAGCAAAGCCAGAATTAGCACAGGATGGGGGGGGGGGTCTGGTGAGCTCTTTTTCTTGCTTTCTTTCGGGCCGTTGGGGACCCTGTTCCACAGAACACACGGGGAAGTCATGGGTGGGGGGACAGAGCCCTTCTGAGTCCTCCTGTTTTGTTGCTTTCCCTCTTCTTCAGGGTTGACTTGCTCCCCAAGAAGCTCCTTCTGCATGGCTCAGATCTTTACCCCGGTGGCATGTGCCGCTGATTACCTGGGTCCTTTTGATCCTTTCTTCGGGAATTTTATCTATGCTCTGAGAGGGGATTGCCCTCATGCTGGTCATCATTTCCACCAGAACTCTTCCGCAGTAAGCCACACCTTCCACCTAGGAGATAAATGGAGCAAAAGCGCCCTTGGAAAAAAGATCAGAATAGCAGACCTGAAGGCAAATGAATAATGAGCGGAGGGAAAGGACGAGTGTAGGGCAGCCTTCCCTGTCCTCTTCCGTTCTGCCTAAATCAGACACTTTGGAGATGGGGTGCAAAGGCCCGGTCTTGCTGGAGAGACCCTGTGAAACACAAGGGCTTCCTCCAAGATGTGTTGCTTCAATAAAAGAGGGGATGCGGAAAATACTGCATGCATGACATGCACCCTGCGGCCGTCTGCAATGCAGGATCTGATCCTTTGGTTAAATGAAGCAGCAGCAAGATCCTAGTCCTCTTGGTGAGTGAGGAAATCCGAAGGCATGAAGGAGGTTTCAGCTAGATGTGCTGCAAAATCACTAATTTGATTTGGGGCAGGGGACAGAATCTGTCGCTTCAGTTTCTTTAATCCTCTTCCCCGATCCCAGGTGAATGGACAACCAGGAGACGGACTTACTGTCCCGGTGCTGCGTTTCCCCAGGGGGCCCACTTGGCTCATAAACTCCTTTGGGCTGCTGTAGAAAGTCAGGAAGGTTGGCCCAAAACAGGGCAGGAAGCAGCAGGGGTCTCCTGCAACCAGAAAGGGCCATTAGAGAAGGAAGAGCTTGTGCCAATTCAGCCATCAGACTGGCCCAAGGTGGCCAACACTGGGAAAATTCCGATAAAGCTGGCAGGAAAGCATTGCTTATCTGTGACTTGGTTTTATCAAATCAAATCTACACCTCCTTCTCCCAAAGCAGCAGAATTCCCAGCCAGGTTGCCCCAAGATGACGGTGTTCTTAGCTAGACTGAGCAGCTGTTGGAGGCCAACACCTGCGAAAGCTGCAACAGTGGGGCCCTGTGCTTCCAAAGGGGCCCACCCGAGACCCACGGCGGCAGCGCCTGCTGAGTGCGCCCGTCAGGCCAGCCCTCCCGAAGGGCTCCTGCGCAGACACACTCGCGTGCCCAAGCAGGCAGGCCCGGCTGCCCAGAACCCGCTGGACCGGCCGATCGGTGCAGTGCGGCGATCAGGCATGCTTCCCGTGCTGCTGTCACCAGCATGTCTGATCGGCTTAGAGCATCGTGTCATGCCTAGAGGCACCCGGATGCTCTTGGACTAGGATGATCTGGAAGCGTAACTCTCTGTGTTGGTGCATGTGACTAGCAGGTTGTAAGTGTCTGCCCATGGGGTGTCCTTTTGTAGCTGAGTTTGCCTCTGCCCGGTAACGCACTATTGGTAGTGACTGCAAGCACTGGGGCCCCGGACAATAAAGCAGCGGAGGTTCAAATGGCTGATCTTTCTCATGGACCCGAGTTTTTATTTCCTCCTCACAAACTGAAAACTGAGATTCTGTCACCAGCTTGGGTACCACAAGAAGCTACACAGGACAGGGGGACATAGCTGTGCACCTGCAAAGTGCCTGCAGCCCAGTGGGGTCCCCTAGCCAGACCCCTCTGGCCGGATTCCTCCTCTTTACCATTGCCACTGGCTTCTTCCCCCACCTCTTGCTCCAGCCCAAACAACGGTGGTGGAGCGAGGAAGGAAGTGGAGATCCCACCATGGTCTCCTTGCTCCCAGCGGTGGCCATGCCGAGGTAGAGGAGGAGGAGGGAGATGAGACAGAGTAGGAGCAAGAGCAGCTGGTGAGAATGATGGGGGGGAAACTCACTGAAGGAGGGGTGCATGGTGGGAGGAGGGAGGCTCCTTTCTTTGATACGCCCATTGTCAGGGATGTTTTCGCTGTGGGGGGAGCAGCCAAGTCCTGTGGAGGCACGGGGGAGTGGGGCTTTTCCGGGGCTTCCCGACGCTTGTTGCCATCCCTGCTTTTGGAGGACGACTCTTTGTGGAGTCCGCCGATGCTAATTAACGGAAGGGGCTTGCCTTTGGGATTTTGCACCTCAGGCCCTGGGAAGAATCAGATTTCTTACTTTTAAATTCAGGCCCCATGGCTGAGATCTGGGACAGGCTGATAAACGTGGTCCCCAGAACGTTGCCATCATCATGTTGAGGCCTAGAAGACAAAACCAAAAATGGTGCACACAGTAAGATGGGGGTCTAAAGAAAGTGGAGACATTCCAGGCTATTTCATGGGGGGTCTTTGTTGTTTTAATAGCTTTGGAAAATATGTAGTTTTACTCTGAGACTGTGTGTTTGTGCGTGTTGGAGAATGGCTTCGAACGAAGCAAAAGCAAATGGAGAGGTGCTTCTTTAAAATGGTTGAGGCCGGTTGTGCCAATGTCAGTGGAACTGTGCATCAACTCTAGATTTTCCGCCAAATCTTAAGGGGCTCTCCATGGTGCCGAATCAATTTCAGAGGTAGGGTTTGGCACCAGGGAAAGGGAACACCCATTGGCATAAAATTTGCAGCTGTAATTTAGATGCTCGGGGGCAAAAATCATGGGCAATTTGCACATTCTTGCTCTAACGCAAGTGGAAATGCGATTCGCTCCCCGTGGTGGAGAGGACCGTGGGCCGGTGAGTGGTCCAGCCGAGGTCCAGGGAAATGTGCCATGATGTGGCAACGGTTCTCCTTGACAGGAGGCCAAGGTCCCATGTTGCTCTTGAGAGAGGAGCCAGAGCGACGGCACTCACCCATCCAGGATAGCAAGCTTGATTAAGTCACACACGGGCGGCATCTGCAGCAGGAGAACGTGCCAGTTAGCAAATCCCTCTGCACCCTCAGCAGGACTGGGGGGTTCCTCAGTGAGGGGCTCAGGGGCCTCAAGAGGCAGGAAGACGTCTCTGGATCCTCTGGTGAAGAACTTCAGAAGAGGCCTCCTGGATCAGGCCAGATCGGTCCACCCAGTCCAGCATTCTGCGCACCCGGGAGCCCGCAAGCCAGACAGTGGGGGCGACACTCCCTCCTGCCAAAGCTCCCCAGCGACTGGGGTGCTGCCTGAGGCTTGAAGGGGAGCCAGGCCTTCAAGTCTCATGGCCGCCATCTCCTCCAGGAATTTGCCAACGCCCTTTTAGACCTGCCCCACGTAACGGCCATTGCTGTATCTTGTAGCCGTGAATTCTCAGTTAAAACAGAAACTCTGTGCGGGAGGACTGTTTTAGCTGCCCCTGCATCTCCCTCTGGTCACTTTCAAGGAGGTGACCCCACTGGGGGTCTATTATGAGAAAGAGTATCTTCCTCGCCACCTTCTCTGCATCGTGCGTAATTGTGTACGCCTGTTGACTCTCAGACAGAGAGAGAGAGGTCTTGGTTAATGGGCAGTACAGAAAGAAAACAAACACACATAATTATTAAAGATAGAATAGAATAGAATAGAATAGAATAGAATAGAATAGAATAGAATAGAATTTCCCCTTATTTTATATTATGGGATTAACAGAGCTGTAAAGTACAGGTGGCAGTGCTCCCAAAACAAAAGAAAACAAAATGAAATAGGGTGAAATGAAACAAAACGAGATGAAGCGACGCAAATCAGAAGCAAAAGTCAAGGCAAGGCTATTGCTCCTCAGATCAGGGCAGAAAATTGTTCGGCTTGCCAAGCCCAGTTACCAGATGAGCCACGGTGAAGGTTCCTCTGCTTTTAATTTAAGTGGCTGCCTTTAAGTTCCTATTGTTGTTATTATCATTAATGCAAATAATCGGGAAGAGCAAACAGACCACAGTCTGGGACACAACCCAGAAGGGGTTGGATTATTCCCCCTTACTCACGTGGTGTCACTGGGGCAAGCAAGACAGATCGTGCCCAAGTGTCTTCCTGCACCTTCTCTCTCTGCCTTTCAGTTTCCAAATGACGCAACTCACCTCCATGGGAAACAACATCAGCTGGTTCCACACGGGATTGGCATCTCCAAACACAACATTTGTCTTGAGCTGTGCGTGTTGACAAAGGTGGCAGGTAAATAAAAAGGTGCCCATTGACACAGAAGCTTAGCTTTTAGGTCATACCTGTGCTAAACGGCCAAACAGGATCTCCGTTTTACTTCTGCTTAAGAGAATAAATAGCCAATGCTCGTGCCAGCAGGCAGGACAGTAGCCTCCCCTATTATGAGTTCGGATAAATTCCAGCTGATGAAGCAGGAAAGCCTCCGATTGCCAGCGTCTGCGAGCCAGGGACGTATTTCCCTTCCCTGAAGGCCCAACATGTGCCACAAGGAATTTGGTTTGAGTAATCCTGGAAAGTCATTAGCACAATATGCCAAAACCTGCAGGTTTTATATTTTTGTTTACTGAATAAACGTTTGCTTGTCCATAGCAGTTGTTTGTTTGCTTTGCAAATGCTATTCTCCCCACCACCCCTGATTTTAAGAAAAAAATGACTGGTGATGCATTTTACTCACCACTCTCCCTGCAAAAGTTGCTTCCAGAGAAGGGTCCACAGATGTGACGCCATCCTGCACTGCAGAGCAAAGCAACCGTGTCTGAGCAGGTTGCTTTTAGGAGCTTCATTTTGCTGCAGAAACTGCTGGTCACCTAGGGTAACCCGAATCACTTCCAGTCAAAAGGCTCCTAGTGCTGCCAGGCAAAAGGCACCGGGCAGGTATTCTGTCTCCCTACTGTCCATGCGCTCCCCCCAATGTGCTCCCCCCCTCCCCGAAATTTGATTTGGCCAGAGGTAGCTCTGAGTCGTAAGAAAGAAACCTGGAGGAAGCTAAACCCTTCCAGGCCTTTGGAAAACCGCTCTCTGGCTGGTTCCACAGAAATCAGATGTGCTTGGGACCCCGACCCTGTTGCCTGCCCTACACCCCACAAGTCTGATGGAAAGGCTGTTCAGTGAGTGGGACTCTCACTCTGCGGCACATCCTCCGCTCTGTAGATGTAGAGTTGGAGGGTGGCCAGGCATGTGCCTGGCATTGCCGCAGGCTGCAGAACGGTGGATTCCAGTTCGCCACTCTCTGTTAAGTGGTCTAAATCCTGTGCGGAGAAGAAAGGTATGGAAGTAAATAGCTCCATCAATGATTGATGTGGATTTCCCATTCTGGCCATATGTTAATCTGGGTGCATTTCTTTGCCCATCATCCCCACACTGCATTTCTATCCCACCTGGCTTTCTTCCTCTTGCAAAGAACCCAAAGCAGCTTGCCCTGTTCCTCTTCCCCCTATTTTATCCTCGAGCAACAACCTTGCGAGGTAGGTGAGGATGAGAGTCCAACACCCCCAGGTCACCAGGGAGCATTATGGCCTAGCAGGAACTAGAACCCGAATTCCCCGAGTCCCAATCCACACTGTTACCCACCACACCACACTGGTTCGTCATTAAAGAACCAAACACTGAAGCTAAGTGAACCTGCCTATAAATGTGCAGGAAATGCTGCAGAGACATATTTACATAAAAAATCAGACTTCTGTATGTAGTAATTTATTAATACAACTTGGGCAAATTGTATTAATAAGTACAATCTGCTGTTGTATTTATTAATCTGTTGTACAAACTGAAGCAACTGATCTGATGTTCTTGGCTCCAAATCTGCACTCGTATTTTGAGCCACATCACAGATGCCAAGAACAAAACCAGTCCGCCTTCAGCTTTTGGGTCAGAAATGCGTTGAAAGCCATTAAGCTCAGAGTGAGTTTTCCAGCATCCCATTATCTGCCACCTCCTGTTGGCCCCCTTGCACAGCTAAGCCTCTAAATAAGCCACAATTTTAATAGCTGCAATTTTATTACAGGGTCAGGAATCCGACAAGTGGCTGGAGAGGCTGCATCTCCAGGTTCTCACCGGTGTGTGGTCTCCTGCTCCCAGGACACACAGGTTGACCTTCACGTAGCCTTTCAGTCCGGTGTTGAGATTCGCCGGGTCATAGAGACTCAACCATTTGGCAACGAGTGCATGACCTAGGGAGAGGGAATGCAGTGGCCGGCATTTGTGCCAGACTCTGTCTCTCACTGGCGCTTCCGTAAGATCGCAAGTCAGCTCAAGACGCTGGCCCCTCCCACCGAACTCCATGGCATTCCTTAGGCACTGGAGGAATCTGTACTGGGATCCCCGGGGTGTGACTCTTCAGACTCCGGTCTGTTTTGTCGCAGCCTCAAGCCCGAGTTCCTGGCGCACATGGCCAGTGCTTGCGGGAGTTTTTGGGGCCCTGAGCCCCACGCACTGCGGAAGGCATCCCTCTTCCGCACTGCATTCCGTCTTCTGATGTGGAAGGAGGTTGCCAGCTGCGCTGTCTTTGTTCCGTGAGTGTTCACAGGCTTCCCCCAAGCTTGGCTTGCTTTGCAAGACCAGGTCAAGCATGAGGGAACATCCATGAAATGCTAGAGGGCTGGATTCTGCTGAGTTTTGTCCCAGTCTTATTATTCAGGACCAACTGTGTACCTCATAAGCTGTGAAATGCTAAGGTTGAGCTGCATTGTTATCATATTTGGCAGCTGAGTATCTTCCCCTTTTCTAATTATTGTAGGCAGGGCTTTTTTTGTCATAGAATGCATCGGAATGGCATTCCAGCACCTTTTTTTCCAATGGATTTTACAAAGTGATTTTGCAGGAGTAGCAGAGCAGCAGCAAGCATCATTATCATAGTGCCTGCGGCTGCTCCTGTGCCTGCCATCTGATCGTCAGGGCACCGCTCGGCTTGGGATCGGTGTGTGTGGTCGCGCGCTGAGGGCTTACTGCTGGCGGCGACATGAGTTCCGGCACCTTTTTGTTTTTTACAAAAAAAGCTCTGATTGTAGGGATCCTTACTGAAAATATTAATTTTCTCACATTAAATTGCTTTTTGTTCCCCTCTGTAGGTCTACGCGGCTACAGAACAGAGCGATGTTGTTGCAGCAGCTACATGGCTCTGACGGGCCCTTATAATTAGCAGCATAATCCAGCATGGCTGCCAGCAACCCTCCAGCGTTGTCTGTGGGGTGCGGGTGCAGGTCACTTCTATGCTTCTCTCACCCCACAGAAAACTCTGAAGGCCAGTTGCCCCAGCATTCGGAAACCAGGATCATTTCTTGGAGCCATTTTCAGCACTATAGACTTCAGCTTACGAGGAAGAGCAGAGATAATCGCCTGCATGCTGTTTCTCCCAATTATATGCTTTAGATAAGGGCTGATTTTGCTGTAAGAACAGAAACTGTTTCTTTACAGACCAGCTTCTCTCCTCCTTGTCACTTAGGGAGACGGTTAACCTGTGTCTAAACTGACAGCCTCTGAAACAGAGGAAGAGAGGAATCTAAATCCATTGCAAGAGGCACCGGTCCCTGACTCTTCACTCAGAAGCAGGAGCAGGCTACTACTGTGCTACTAGGATGTGTGGGATTTCCTTTGCTTGTTTAATAGTAATCTGCATCCATATTTCAACACGAAATGTATTCAAAAAGTTGCATACTATTTCCGACACAAATGGATTTGTTTCATTTGATTTTCCTTCAACTTGGGACGGACCAAGTCCCTGGGATAATACAGATAGGACTGTGGTCCAACATATCTGAGGGATAGTCAGTTCGACAAGATTCACTGAAAGTCATGTTTAAACCCGCAAACGGCAATAATACAATCCTGGAATAGTAGAGCTGGAAGGGGTCTATAGGGCCATTGAGTCCAGCTCTCTGCTCAATGCAGGGCTGCAAGCCAAATCATCCCTGATGGAGGGCAGTCCAACTGCCTCTTGACTGTCTCCGGCGGGAAGAGCCACGACCCCTGGGGTGAACTTACGGGGAGATTCGTACACAACCCCAATCTCAATCTGCAATCAGAACACAAAGAAGAGTCAAAACAGTTATTAAAGCAAGAATGGCTTGAGGAAATGTTACAAAAATCTTTAATATTTAAACCGGAAGTCTTCTAACTACAATCATCATTGTACCTGTTGATGTTGATAAATGTATTTGATTCTACATGTAACTACTGCGGCAAGGACTGTATTTGCCCAGCATTGGAGGAGTGAAGAACCACCCACTGATGAACTGATTTTAAAAAAGTTTCTGGACTGCGCTGAAATGGACAGGCTGACTTTGTCTCTGAAGGAGAAAGAGGATACATACTGCTATCAAACTTGGAACTCTTTTTATTATTGGCTAGAGAAATGGGACTATGCGTAGATTTGAATATGTCTATGGATTGGTATCTGGATCCTTTTCAGTCCGGCTTCAGACCTGGGTACAGTACTGAATCTGCCTTGGTCGCCCTGTACGATGACCTGTGCAGGGAGAAGGACAGGGGGAGTACATCCCTGTTGGTTCTTCTGGACCTCTCGGCGGCTTTCGATACCATGGACCATGGTATCCTTCTGGATAGGCTTGCGGGATTGGGGGTTGGAGGCACTGCTTTGCAGTGGTTCCACTCCTATCTCAACGGTCGATTCCAGAAGGTAGTGCTGGGGGACCATGTCTCCACGTCATGGCAGTTATGCCATGGAGTACCACAGGGCTCCATTCTATCCCCTCTGCTATTTAACATCTATATGAAACCGCTGGGAGAGGTCATCAGGAGGTGTGGGCTGCGGAATCATCAATACGCTGATGATACCCAGCTCTACCTCTCGTTTTCCACTAATCCAGGTGAGGCAGTGGCTGTGTTGAACCGGTGCTTGGCCGAGGTAAGGGAATGGATGAGGGCCAATAAACTGAAACTCAACCCAGACAAGACGGAGGTCCTGTTGGTTGGCAGATCGGGTTTCGGAGAGGGTGGATTTGACCTGGTCCTGAATGGTGCAACACTCCCTCTTAGGGATAAGGTCCGCAGCTTAGGAGTACTCCTCGACCCGGAGCTTTCTTTGGAAGCTCAGGTGACAGCGGTGGCGAGGAACGCCTTCCTTCAGCTTTGGCTGATTAATCAGCTGCGCCCCTACCTGGAGTACGACTGCCTGGTGACGGTGACACACGCGCTGGTGACTTCCCGCCTAGACTTCTGTAATGCGCTTTACGTGGGGCTTCCCCTGAAGACAGTCCGAACACTTCAATTGGTGCAAAATAGAGCTGCCAGGTTGCTGACGGGGACTGGGCGTTATGCTCACATGACTCCAGTCCTCCGTCAGCTTCACTGGCTTCCCATTGAAGCCCGGGCCCAATTCAAGGTGTTGATTATGACCTATAAAGCCCTAAACGGCTTGGGTCCTGGCTACCTGAACGAGCGCCTACGTCCGTATATGCCCGACCGCCCTTTGAGATCTGCGGGAGAGTCCCTTCTCCGGGAACCCTCCATGAAAGAAATTAGGAGAGTAAGTACTCGGAGGAGGGCTTTCTCTGCGGTGGCGCCCAACCTATGGAATTCACTCCCCAAAGAGGTCCGCCTGGCACCGTCGTTACTGGTTTTTCGGCGCCAGGTAAAGACCTTTTTATTTAAACAGCATTTTAATTGTTAAAACATATGATCTGGCCAGGGCAACTTCTTCTTCCTTCTCTTTCTCCTCCTATATTTTTATTTACTTATTTTATACTGATAATTTTAATTTTATATTTGTAACTCAGTGTATTTTTTGTATTTTCGTATTTAATGGTAATCTATTATGTTCTATTGTATTTCAATGTATTTTATTGTGTTGTAAGCCGCCCCGAGATTTTGGCAAGGGGCGGCATAGAAATGTAATAATAATAATAATAATAATAATAATAATAATAATAATAATAATAATATCTATAGGGGGCTGACCCAGTAGGTCTGATGTTTCTGATTGATGTTTTTTAGTTTCTAGAAAATAATAAAATTTACTTAAAAAAACAGTTATTAAAGCAAGGAGAAAGAACTGTGGCAGCAACCAAAGTTCAGCAAAATCCCAAAGCAGGATGTTTTAAATGGTCCATCTGGTTTTCTGCAGTTCTCCAGTTCAGCCTCTGATGTGCCCTCGCTCTGCCCATTTCAGGGATGCTTTCTGACTTGTGGGGTGACCTGAGCCGGTATGGAGCAAAAATGGTTCTAATGATTTCGTGGAAACTGCTCTCAGGGCAGACACTGATGTATCACCAAAAAAGAGGAGCAAGAGGGACCCCGATCAGCATGAAATTGGCACGTGCTCATTTGCAGAGAGCAATGCAGATTCTGAAAGCGTTGCTTTACTCTAGGTAGCGGCAGAGCGCAAAGCACTGCAGTAGGAAGACCAGCAAGTGTGCCGGCTGCCGGCCTGCAGTTGGGGGGCTGTGCATGGGCAACTCCAAGGACCTAGCAGCACTCCCTCCCCATGGGCTTCCTCCTTCAGCTGGACTTGCTCTGGGCAGCTCTTCAGCGAGAGGCCACGTTCAAAATAGAGGACTGCCCTCAGCCGGCCAGGACACATGGCCACCCCAATGCTCTCAGCTGTTGACTTCTGCTGGGGGGAAGACATAACGGAATGTCTGAGTTTGGTTAACAGATTTGGGGAGCAGGTTTAGACTGAACAAAGACCACCAACTCCCAGCATGCTTCAGCCAGCCGTGTTGGCTGGTGCATGCTGGCATTTCCTTAAAATGTCAGGAATGCCCTTTCCTCATTTCAGGGCCGGCAGAGACTGGCCCAGGGACCAATGGTCAATTCCGGGCCACCGGGGCAGGCAGTAGTAGCCACATCATCACTGGCCGTGAGATGCCTCCCGGGCTTTCAGGTCTGGCCACCCTGGGGTTCCAGCAAAGCAGCCTGCTCACCCTGAAGACTCCTATGATGGAATCAGCTCGGATAGCTCTCGAGTTCAGCACCTGTGAAAAAGTACGGTGGCCATACAGAAATCCCGTACTAATCAGATGCAAGCTGCAGTTCTGCTTCTCCCGCCCTCCCGCCCTCCCTCACACACACACACACACACACACACACCCCCCCCCTCTCCCCCCCCCCCCCCCCCCCAATTTGCACTTTTGTTCCCTGGCACACATTGGTTGGCTTCATGCTTTCCTCTCTCTCTGTACTTGAGCAGTAAAGATTTCCAAAATGTGGAAGCAGAACTAGAAAAACAGGCTCCGTAGACCTCAGTCCCAGATGGGGATGGGGAAGAATTTCATTTTGTATTCACAAAACTTGTCCAGGACACAAAGAGCCAGAGAGTAGGGGGGGAAATCCAATGTCCTTGCATAGTTTTATCCAGCCAGGCTTGGTGCTTTGAATGTTTTGCTCTTAAAAGCCCGGGCATGGCACCCTGGCTGCTCAGCCGTGGGCCTGCTCAGCCCCTCATCTTTCCTGATTTCCCCTCATCTTTAACAGCTTGGGGCTGGCAAGAAGCCGTGGTCTCTCCACACTGGGAGAAGCCACATCTCTTGAATGTGGCTGGGTAGGAACATGCTGTTGGTTGATTGTGGGTGACAAAACTGACCAACCTTCCCTGGGTCCCTCTTCTGAGAACCTGCAGTGGTCAAAAGGTAAAGCTTGGAAGCACAGTGGGTCCCATTCTCCTGTGCCTCATCCCAGGGACCTGGGCCTCTCCTTCCCCAGCCCTCTGGCTCTCAGCATCACACCCAACATGACGTCCAGGTGCTGCTCCAGGACGTGGGAAGAGCCAATCGCAAGGCTAGAACAGGGGTCCGGAGGGAAAGGGAGGGGGCAGGAGCTTTCTTACCTGGATGGTGATGAACTGGTCGAAGAGCTGCTGCGGAGTCTCATTAAAATTCTGTACGAACGTCTAAAGAGGCGCCAAGGGAAGGAGAGCCCCGTGAGGCGGGGTGGATGCAGAAGGGAGGCCAAGTATGTGCCTTGTCCCACTAACATGGCCATGGGGAGGGTTCTGGGGCTATAAGGGGCTTCCACAGCAGCCCGGCCAACCCGCTGATGCAAATGCCCTGCAGGAGCGTGGCCAGCGCTCCTAAGAGGAAGAGCAGCCTTTCCCTCTTTCATACCGATCCTGGAAGCGAGGCAGGCTGCTTCCAGGAGCAGGGCCTTTCGGTTGTGGCACCCCGGCCATGGAATGAGCGCCCCAAAGCGGTACCGCTGGTGTCAACCTGGCATTCTTTTCAGTGCCCGATGAAGACGCTTTTATTTTCCTAGCATTTTAACACTTTAACTTTTGAACTTTGTTTTTACATATTCCATTTTATTCTCTACTGCAGCTGCACTTCTGTGCCAAATCATAGCAATTCCTATTATGGTTTTGTTCTTTTAATTGGTACTTATCTTTTACATTTTCATTTAATTTGGCACCCCGACTGTGGAATGCACTCCCCAGAGAGGTTCGCCTGGCGCCAACACTTCTTTCCTTTCAGTGCCAGGCGAAAACCTTTCTATTCTCCTGATATTTTAATTGTTAAATTGTTTTAATTTGTGGTTTTACACTGAACACTGGATGTTGTGCTACTTTAACTCTTACTTCTATTTTTATTCTATTTTATTAATGTTGTTGTAAATGATTCCAAGAAGTCTGTGATGGGACGGTATAGAAAAGTTTTAGATAAATAAATTTAGCTTTTGTTAACCACCCAGAGAGCCTCAGTGATCAGGCAGTAAATTAATTCATTCATTCATTCACATAATTTTAGGACGCCTATAACTGCCAAAAGGCCTTCCTAGGCAGCTCGCAACCACATATTAAACCTATTAAAACAACACATTTCTATATCTACATCTATATCTATATATGTATCAACATATTAAAACCTATTTAAACACTTACAATATTAAACCATTAATGCAATAGCAATATAAAAAGGCCACCTTCATTCACAAGGGCTAAGTATTAAACACAGTTTTTTAAAGGTAATTGTTTTTTTTTTTTTTTTAGAATCAATACACCGTGGCACTCAGCACACCTTATGCCACCACCAAAATGTGCCAGCAGAGGTTCGGGGAGCAGCTAGAGGAAAACTCTGCTGTGGAGACGTCCCTGTGAAATGTTCCAGTGAGCTTGCCAAGTAAGTAGTTAATTTTTACTGGAGGAGCCATTAGCCTTTTCGTAGTCCTGCACCCTTCCATCTGAGGATGCCTCTTGATGGTTCAGGAGAGTTGTGGGTAAACTCCATGCATTAAATTCCACTCCACAAGCATGACTAGAAGGGGAGTCCCTCTAACATCTCCTCCTTTTCCTTCCTTCTTACAATTTCACACCAGAACCCAAACAGCCTCTTGCATCAGAGAAGTGAGCCTTACTTCTCATCCTCTCCATTCAAAATGGTTCGCACCAAGTTGAACTGGCCCAGATGGCTTCCCCGACCAAACGTTTCTTAACAAACAAAACAGCTGGGAATGTTCACGTGCTCCAGCATCTCCTTTTCAGAAGCAAATCAGATGTTCCCCTCTTTGAAGCTGACATTTGAACCTCAGAGGCTCCCGGACCCATCCAACCACCTGGTCTCCTGTCCCGCAGAGAGGAAGGCCCCTTTCAGGGGATTTTGGAAGCCAACCTCATTATAGTACGGGTTGTTCCCCAGTTTGATTCTTGTCCTGAAGGCGCGATCACCAACCATCACCTTCACCACCGGCTTGATGTTGTTCTCTTGCAACTGCCGACATTCGATGATTCCAACGCGGACCTGCAGAAACAGGGACAGCAGGCCAAGTCCTGGATGCTGGGCCGGAAGAAGCAGGGATGCCTGAGCCATCAACATTCCCTGCATTCCCCTTCAAGGCTCAGTTTGACACCCTCCTCCTCTTGCATTTTAGCAGTTCTATGTTTCATTCCATTCCTAAGGATCCCTAGCATGGAGTCTGCCATCTTTGCAGCTGCAAACTGGGCTAGAATTTTCCTCAGGTTGTCCGTCACTACCCTGAGATTGCTCAGTCTGGCTCAGATGCTACCAACCCCTACTTGATGTGGGGATGTTTTGTCCCAACGTGCATTATTCTACCCTTGCTTGTATTGAACTGCATTTGCCAATTTGAGGCTGGACAAATCCCTTTGGACCTCCTCCAAGTCCCTTTCGGGTTTAACCACCTGCTCAGTTTGGTGTCATGAGCAAACTCGGCCACTGCACTGCTCATGCCGGGCAGAAAAGAACATGCTAGTGCCAGTCGCGCCTGCCTGGGGCGAGTGGAGACTTGCTGCATCAGGGTGCCACCACCACCAAGACCCTGGGGTGCTTGCCCCTAACCAGGTTTAGCTGTAAGCCATTCTCAGAATGTGTGCTGCTATTATGGTCAATGAAAACTTTAAACAAATAAGTAAGAGTCTATCTTGAAGGTCTTAAGACATGAACCAAGAAGAGATGATTGCTCAGATATTGGAAGCCAAGAAGTCTGAGCCTTTAAAAGCAAGCACATCATGTTGGCTGAGGACTATGGGAACTGTAGTCCAGGTTGGGGCAGGTCTTGAAACAACACTAGTTTTCTTATGCTTTAAGCTCAGGCCCTGGGTTGTGTTACCTGGAAGGGCTGCTTCTTGTTTGAAAGCTTTTTATTCGCTGTCGATGTTGGCACTTCAGGGGCTTCCTCCTCCTTTGGAGCTGCTTCTTCCATTGCAGAATCCTTTGCAAACATGGGACAGCAAACTGGCAAAGATGGCAGAGCATCAGGACTGTCACGTTTGGTGTTTCTGTAGCACTTACCCCAAACTCTTAAAACCTTCTAATATACAGCATTTCCAGAGGGGTGCAGAGGTCCATCAAAAGCCTGCCGGGATCTTTTCTCCTGGGGATCTTTTGAGTGAAGCACGTCCTTGAAGTGCCCAGGGATGAGGGAAGATCAAGTGCTTCAGCAGCTCAGGCTGCAGTGTGCAGAGCAATCATAATGTGCTGCTGGCCAAGCATCTCAGGGTTACAAACCGACTGGGCAAAAATGTTGGTTTGTGGCACGTGGGGAAATGTATCACCTGCGCTTCTCTGCTGGACACTCGGCACTTACTGGCGAAGGGCAGGAGCTGGTGAAAAAATGGACTCTCCCAGCCGGCAAGGCAGAGAGAGATGCAGGGGCTGTTTGCGGGGGGGGGGGGGGCATGCACAAACACACTGTTCTCCCGGATGCGCTGCAGCACCTCTGGCCCACCACCAACATTTTTGTCCTTTCTGACATAAATTGGTTTTCCCTTTTTTATTTAAAGGAGGGAAGCCTAATGCCAAACCACCATCCCCACTTGGCACCCTAGAAATTAAAACAGAGCCACCCAAAGTGATGAAAGCTCTCCTTCCATACATACTTTCCCGCCCCCTAAGATCTGGGTCAGAGGTCCTTCTTCGGGAGCCCTCCTTGGAGGAGATTTGGAGGGTGGCCACCCAGGGAAGGGCCTTCCCCATGGTGGCGCCCCGGTTATGGAATGCACTTCCCAGAGAGGTTTGCCTGGCACCAGCACTGTATTTCTTTCAGCACCAGGCTAAAACCTTTTTATTTTCCCATTATGTTAAGGTTTGGCTAGGTTTTAATTTTATTGGAATTATTTGGATGCTGTGCTTCACTTTATTTTACTCCGTTTTTATTGGAAGACCGTCCCAAGACTTTAGCAGCTGGATGGTATACAAAAGCTTTAAATAAATAAATAGGTCCATCGTCCCTGGAGGGGTGCTGGATGGACCCCATTAGCCCTATCTCAAGCGTGAAGAAGCATTCCGCTGGAGCCTCGGAAAGTCCACCACCTCCCACTTCCCGGGAAGGTTTTGGAGCCTTGGCTTTCAGGAAAGGCGAGAGAGAAGGTGGGCTCATCTCAGAGACGTGGAAGCCACTCAGGCCTGTTTGCCTCCATTCTGCTTGCAGTCAGCCCTTGCTTAGCTGCCTGTCATTCCCATGCCTGTGTACTGGAAACACGAGCTCGGGGAATGACACTCACCCAGCCTCTTGAGATCATACTTCCTTGCACGGGGGATCAGTTCAGGTTCCAGAGGTAAGAAGGAAATCCTCACAGTGATGGTGCACTGCAATGAAAGAGGCCTAAGAGCTTATAACTCTTTGCACATCGGAATAATTAATTAATTAATTAATTAAGAATGTTTCTTCATTAAAGGTAAAGTTACAGGTTTCCCCCTGACATTAAGACCAGTCATGCCTGACTCTCGGGGCGGGTGCTCATCTCCGTTTCCTGGCCAAGGGAGCCAGCGTTTGTCTGCAGACGGTCTCTGTGGTTGTGCGGCCGGCATGACTACACTCCCTTCCCACTGAAATGGCACCTTTTTATCTGCTTGCATTTGCCTGCTTTTGAACTGCAAGGCTGGCAGGAGCTGGGAAGGGACAACAGGAACTCACCCTGTTGTGCAGATTCGAACCGGTGACCTTTTGATCAACCAGCCCAGCAGCACAGCAGTTTAAACCACTGCGCCACCTGCATCGTTTCTTCATTACATTCATAATAAATGCATTTGAATATGCACACAGGAATGTGGGAAGCTGCTTCATGCTCACGGTGCATCTGTTGCAAGTTTTTCCTGCCCTCCCAGGAGGTCAGGAGCTGATCCGTGGCCTTCCGTACACAGAGCTGATGCTCTTCCCCCAAGTTATGTCCCTTCACCGAAGGACACTCAGACGCCACCACAATTCCCCGGACAAGTTCCTCCCCCTGCTTACGCCAGTCGGTTTCAGCTCATCATCCCGCAGAACCTGGTCCTTCACTGTGATCATCACCTTTGGCTTTTCCGCGGCACTGGCCAGGGCTATGTTGGCAAATCCGTAATTTCTGGAGGAGAGAGGCACAAGGAGGTCAACGCGGAGCTCCGGTAGGATGGAGGTCTTTGGCCACTCCTGCAGAGGGCGCTTGCGCAGCGCTGGAAGGACGCACCGGTGGAAGCAGGGTTCCGGCGGCACCATTCACAGCCCTGCGCAAACTTCTTGAGATGCAGGTGTGAAAGCCATGGCGGTAAACTGCCCATCCCTCTTGCACATCAGGAAAAAGATAACAGTGGCTGATGGTGGAGTATAACACGGCAGAATACATGTGATTTAAATGTGGTGGGTATATTTTTAAAACATGGAATAGCTGTGGATTGCGGCGACTTTCATGGGGGAGGTACCGAGCAAGGCATTTACACAGAGGGTCACCAACGCTGGGCAACAGTATTAAGAACTAGGATAGATCAAATACAATTGATAATATATATTTTTTTAAAGTCTGTTTAAAACATAAATGATGACTGCTATGTCATACTTGAGCAAAACTTGTCTAAGCCAGGAGAGTGGATAAGTCATCACTAAAAATGTAAGTCAAACTAAAGTTATAAGCTGCACTTAAAATGTTGCAACAAATAATATGGCTCAGAAAATAAGCACCTTAAAAACAAGATCTGAAGCCATGTAAAACAACGAGTAAGAAAAATGGTTTCCAGTGCCACGAAAGAAGACTCCAGCTGCTCCCTTCTCTCTGGGTGATTCACCTGTTCTCCGCTTTAATGCTCCAGTCTTGGAGTTGGACTGTCACAAAAGAATCGCTGGTCAGAGGTTTGGCATCCAGGTACCACACCAGGGTCTGCAGAGGAAAACAGCGGATTGCACCATACGCTCCGGCTTCCCCTCTTTCATGGAACCCCCGGCAATGACCAGATCCCTTTCCTCCACTGCCTTTTCTTCTCCAAGTTGTCTTTTGTTAATCTGACTTCCCAGAGAGCATGACTGAGACCATGGCTAGGGCTCAGGAAGTTACCTCATTCCAGGTGGGGTCTTGTTCTTTTTGTACGACTCTTGTGCTCCTTTCAGCATCTAAGAGAAATAAAATAAGTACCTCAAAGGCTGCCACAAAGAGGAAGGTCAAGCTCTCTTCTTGCTGATGCCAGAGTGCAGGACACGGAATAATCAATTCACATTGTGGCAACCCAGGTTCAGGCTGGACAACAGGAAAAGCTTCCTCACTGTCAGAGCAATGCGACAGTGGGACCACTGTGAGGTGGGCTCTCCCACACTGGAGGCATTCAAGGGGAAACTGGGCAGCCCTCTGAGTGGGATGGTGTAACCTGGTGTCCTGCAACAGCACTGGGTTGGGCCCAATGGCCTTCATGGCCCCTTCCAACTCTACTCTTCTAGGATTCTATGAAAATGCCGGGTGAATGCACACTAGCACAGGTTGTGACCCTTGGCCAGGGGCTGGGGAAGCTCCAGGTTTTGAAGGCTTGTTGGAGCAGGTGCCCTCCATGGTTTCCCTGCCACCGAGCTGGCTTTCTCAGCACCATCCTTGCCCCCTGCTTGTCTAGAAGAGGCAGCAGGCAAGGAGGCACAGCATTTACTGCTGTGCCAAACATTTATCACACGTTTTCCCATCCTGATTCAGTCTGGCAGAAAATAAATTTAGAGGTGATGAGCATTTCTGGACAGTACACATGGGCTGGGTCTTGTGCTTGTCCTACCCCTATCCCTACCCCGGCTCACAATTCTCCAGGCTTCACTGTATGACCATCTTTCCAGCAGCCTGGTGGCCTCCAGGGCTTCCCTTACTTGAGTGGAAGCCACGTTAGAGAAGACATCAGAGGAAATACCTCCCATGGGATTTTTCAGCCCAGGAAGACCTGGCAGTCGGGGATGGAGCATGGCAGTGGAGAAGCAGGACAGCTCCCTGGGCTTTCTCACAGGGTTTAGGTAAGCTCAAAAAAACCACAGAAAGAGATTCGAAATAAATTATGAAACACCTTGAGAATGGAGCAAGATGAGAGAAGCCATTTTCATGGGGAAAGGAGACTTATTTATTTATTTAAAACGTTTAAACCCCGTCCTTCCCAATAAAACATCTCAGGATAGCTTACAATAATTAAAAGTAGTAATAATAATAAAATTACAATCAATAATAGTAATTAAAATAATAAATAACAAAGCAATAAATAACATTCAAATTCAATAAAACTAAAGAAAGAAAATGCAACTGAATCTTAAAGCAGCTAAAATCCTTAATTCTTAAAATGATGGTTAAATATAAAAAGGTTTTTACCTGGCGCCGAAAAGAGTATAAAGTCAGCGCCAGGCGAACCTCTCTGGGGGGTTTGCCTGGCAAACTGGAGTGATTTTTGGGGAATATTTGTTGTTGTTGTTGTTCATTCTCAAAGTCATGCCCGACTCTTTGCGACCCCATGGACAACACTCCTCCAGGCCTTCCTGACCTCCACCATCCCCCGGAGTCCACTCAAGTTCACACCAACTGCTTCCGTGACCCCATCCAGCCACCTCATCCTCTGCCGTCCCCTCCTTCTTTTGCCATCTATTGTTCCCAGCATTAGGCTCTTCTCCAGGGAGTCCTTCCTTCTCATTAGGTGGACAAAGTATTTGAGTTTCATCTTCAGCATCTGGCCTTCTAAAGGGCAGTCAGGGTTGATCTCCTCTAGGACTGACTGGTTTGATCGTCTTGCGGTCTAAGGGACTCGCAGGAGTCTCCTCCAGCACCACAATTCAAAGGCCTCAATCCTTTGGCGCTCGGCCTTTCTTATGGTCCAACTCTCGCAGCCATATATTACAAGGGGCAATATTAGCTCCATCTTTTCCTGCACTATGTCAAATGGACTCGTTCCTCACCCAGGCAGCTACGGAGGCTCATGGAACAACCCTGGACTGATTCAGGGAACCAGCCCAGCCACAGAGAAGGGTGAAGTAAGCTTTCTTTTGCTCATTCATGTTCTTCACTCGCATTTCATTGTTGCATTCAGTAAACTGTGCATGATCTCTAACACAGGTGCTTTCGTTCCCCCTAAGCATCCTCAAACCGAAAGTAGGATGCTTTGGCAGGATCTGGCCCCTGTGGTTAATGCACCTGGGACTATTTGCACCTTTGCCGCTGAGCCACAAGCCTTTGCCACAATCAGACTCTGCAGCAAGAAAAGCTGAGTGTTGAGATGCTTGCAAATTATGCAAAAGGAGAGCATGGCAATCGTTCTCCTTATTTTGCACTAGTTATTCCTCTCTTGCTCCCCATGGGGAATTTAATTCATTAAAGCTTTTCTGGACTGCCTTTCTGAAAAGTACATTTTTTAAAAAATGCAAACAAATAGGGACACAGCAAAACTGTAACAACAAATTCAAAAGGCAAATTAAGTGTGCGATCGTATGCATCTTTCGACAGAAAAAAGTTTTATGACTGCCAGCATAGGAATTAATTACAGGGCTATCTTCTGTCCAAAAATTCACAGATTATGTTTTTAAGATATTCTTGATGTCCTCCTTTGATACAGAGCAAGCAGGGACCAGAAAAAGCAGCAACAGCTCAGGCTCTTGAACCAAAGACCTTTCACCGCCTAACCCCTCATCCACCCACCCCCCTGGGTGCTGAAATTCTGACCAGCATTGCTCTTCCCTTTCCAGCTTCTCATTGCAAGCATAGGGGCTAGAAATGTTGCTAAAAGCAATGTGAGATCCTTAACAAGCCATATTCTTCCTCTAATGCGACGTTCCATAGAATCACTGCATAGCCGCTTCCCTGATAGGAATCTGTTTTATGATTTAAAATCAGATGGCATGGCATGATTGCATTACCTCTGAATGAGCCAATCACATACGTGTCCGGCTTATCTGCATTTTCTGGGGGTATGTGAGCCGACAGAATGACCACACGCAACATCTTTGGTCCCCTTGGCTGCTTTTCTCTGTAAAGAGTCTATCTGAGTGAACTGATTACGAGCCCAGGGAGAGCGTCACTTCCTCATGTTGCCTTGAGGAAATAACAGTAAATCCCCAAAGCCCCTTTGAATCTTTCTTGCAGAATTCCTGATGTAAATGAAATGTGCCTTCTTTGGCAGTCCGTGAGCAGAACTGAGAACAGCCGACATCATAAAACAGAAAATAAGAGACAAAACTTCTGAGAAGTGATGTCACAATCTGAAGGCAAGAATGCACCAGAGAATCCTTGGGGCGTCTGTCATGCTTCTGGCATAGAAGGACATACAGCTTCCTTTTCTAGTGGCATTTTCTTGCCTGAGAGGAGTTCCCAGAAGAGTCTCTTGTTTTTTACCGGTTGGCTCCCCAGTAATGGCCTATCCCCAGATCTGAGGTATCCTTTGTTGTTTAGTCAAAAGTCACGCCCGACCCATCACAACCCCATGGACAACCTTCCTCCAGGCTCTCCTGTCCTCCACCATCCTTCAGAGTCCACCCAAGTCCACACCCACCGCCCCAGTGACTCTATCCAGCCCCCTCAGCCTCTGCCGCCCCCTTCTCCTTTTGCCATCGATCATTCCCAGCACCAGGATCTTCTCCAGAGAGGGATTCTAGGAGATCCCTGATTGTTCAGGCTCCTGGGCAGTTGACTGATCAATAGCTTTGTGCAGTGGAGCTGCTTGGCCCTGAGAAGATTTTAGCCAGGGCATCCACATTGCAATGCCGGCATCCAGATGGGCCAACAGAGCCCTGGGACTGATTGCAAATCTCTTGGACCTGGGCTAGACGGAATCAGTGTGGTCTGGCTGAGTGGGCCACTAAGTTGATTAAAACACACACAGATCCGTCAGGCTAGTGAAATGTCTCCTAGAGTAGCCAGTTGTGAATCGCATGAAATGTGCATATGCTATTTTTATGTATAGAGACACATTTCTAAATACTTATCATAACTGCTGTGGAAATACAATCCATCCCAGAGCTTTGCTATTTCTGGGAAGGGAGAGGGTCTTGATCTTAAGACCAGATTTGGACTGGACAGCCCTTCAAAGAGAGGACTGCATCCCATAAAAGAGGAACCATAGGCACCTGACCCAGCCAGCAGGAACCAGAGGAGGGACAGCAGAACTACCTAATTGCTTCTCATTCAGGGCTGCTGTGTGAAAAGGAACCCCCTGCTCAGTCTTGCTGCAGTCCCTAAAATTTGCTTTAATATAAGAACACCTGGAAAGGGAGATAGCAGAACTTGGAAATGGCCCCACCGCCCCATGTGTATGAGAGAACCCAAGACCCAGCCCAGGCAGCAGGGAGCATGCAGTGCGGAGGAATGAAGATCCAAGGGTTGGCACACGGAACCCAAGCACCACAACTGGCATTTTCCTCACGATGCTTTTGATCCGATTTTCACGCTGTTTTCTCCACAATGAGTAAGTAGCGTTGCAGTTTATTCACGTCTGCCCAAATCAGCTCTAGCTGGCACCTGGCCAGGCCCTGTGATGAGCGTGTTGCTTGTTTGAACCTCTTGGCTCTGCTGTGTGGCTACCGGCATCTACCTGCTGACCCACCAATTCAGACATCAGGTCACCGGGTGGATGTTTCACCGGCGGTTCTTTGCGGCACGGAAGGTGAAGTTCTCGTGCCAGGTGGCATGTGTGAGAGAGAGTGCAAATCAGGAGGGGGGCGCATTTTGTGGATGTGAATGACCATCATACGCTACCTGCTCCCTAGTATATAAAGTGAAAGGCTGCAGGAAGGATGGGCGGCTTTCGTGAAACGGATTCGAGCCGAGCCAGGGACTGGATCTGTCTGTATCTGTGGAAACGATGGGATTGCTCTTGTGTCTGTCAGGCAGGACTCTCAAATCAGCCCAGGGACCTAGTCCAGACAATCCAGAGCAGGGGGAAGATGCCCTGAGTTAGCAGGTAAGAAAGAGAAGTGAGGGGGATGTTTGCTGAACGAACTAGGTAAGTTCATTCTGCAATTGTCTCAGCAGGCTAGATTTTCCTGAGCGGTGTTTTGACGAGGGATGTTGGACACTCCTTGACTCTGATGGTGCCAATAAAGAAACACGTAAATGAAGAGCCATCCAGGCAGATGGTTTTGCAGATGGTGGAAAGTTCGTTTTCACTTCCCTCCAGAGAGCAGTAGCTTGATGCTCAAATCCAGTGTGCAATCCGTTGCTGTCCGAACAAAATGCTTCAGAGGATACTGTGCATGAAAGACTCAGCTTTAAAACAAATCTGTTAGAGAGACGATGTACTGAAAAGCCCAGCAGGGTGTCTTGTCCTTGTGCTCCTTTTTCTCTGATGCCGAAGTCTCTCTTGTGATATGACTTCAGTCTGTACTTAACTTACGAATGCTTGTGCAGGAGAATTCTTAAAAGTCAATCCCAGGTATGCCTGGCAAAGAAAGGCCTGCTGAATTCCGTGGGGCTGCCTGCCACGTAGGCATCATACAGGATGAACTGCAGCCCAAACCGCCCAGTGGTGGCAGGGACTCTCAACAGGAGGAGGAGGCTTGCAGCAACGTGGGCCCTTTCTGAGGCTGCACATGCTTGCTGGGAGCGAGACCCTTTGACCTCAATGGGGTTGCCTGCCAGTTAATCTTATGTGCACAATGCAATCGCATCCGACCTTCAATGGCAAGTTGCTAAAGGTATTTCAGGTGCTACCCAGATTCGTTTGAGCTGCATCTTGCTCAAGGAGCAACCAAATGGCATTTTGTGGTGAGAGGCAGTGTGGGGTCGTGGTGAAGAGCATGGGACTGGGACTCAGGCGATCCGGGTTCGAGTCCCCGCTCAGCCAGGGAGCCCACTGGGTGACTTTGGGCCAGTCACAGCCTCTCAGCCCAACCTACCTCACAGGGTGGTTGTTGTGGGCAGGAGGAGATGTAAGCTGCCTTGAGCCCTTTGCAGGAAAAAGGCAGGATATAAATCAATCAATCAATCAATCAATCAATAAAATTTTCATTGGAACCCTCTCTGTCCCCACCATGTCTAAATCACTGTGTGTGTGTTGGGGAGGGGGTAAAACAAATGTGAGATTCACTCACACCCTTCCTCTTCCCATGGGTTGTATGCACGCAGTCTGCATCCCCCTGATATTTTTCTCCTTACAGTAGCTTTGATCAGGGAAATGAATCTGGCTGGAAGAAAAACTTGCTTAATCAAGCCGAGCGTCTAGGCTTTTGATGGGACCGGGGCACATCCGGATTTCTACGCCGACAGTCAGCATGTCTCTTGCAATCAGCTCAAATTTTGTACTTAGAACCTGTGTGCCCACACAAAAATGCTTCAAAGGTGGCCAGTTTAAATTCCTGTAGCAAGAGCATTCCCTGTCACCATTCTGTGGCAAGTGATTACACTGTAATCTAAATTTCTTTCTGATGCAAAGTTCCAGGGATCAGAGTTCAGAGCCTGGGCATGTGCAAACAGAGTGTGAATTGCAGGAGCAGGCATGTCCGTATGTGGACAACTGTACCTGGGGATTTGATGGAAAACTGACCCCTCTTCCCCAACCTGGCAATCCCTCTGTGGGTTCCCACCATCCTCAGCCAGCAGGGTTATTGGCTCTCAAGCAGGGATGGATCCTATTTTTCTGGACAGTGTCCCTGGTCTTGTTTTGGTCCCCCCTTTGCATTTTGGGGCTGCCTTAAGATTTGTGGGTGGCCTGTCTTTGGGGTAAATCTTGAGCAAGTCCAGAAGAAGTTACTTGCAAAGCCAGGCCTGTAACCTGAACAGGGGCAGACAGCTGTGCGAGTAACTATGCCTATTCTGGGATGCTTCTGATCAAAAGATTAGCGATGCAGATGCATCTTCGAAAGCATATCTTTGCTAGAAATGCAAAAGCCAGCCAAAGAGGCTTCCCAGTGGGCTCAGGAACACAAGGGGCAGGGAGGGAGCCACCCCACCCCCCTTCGGGAAGCCCCTTTGGCCCTCAGCTCAGTTCACACTATCGCTGGCTCCAAGGAGTCCATCCGTCTGCACTGGAGACCCTCTGGAATTGTCCCTGCTGAACTGATCAGATTACTGTGCAAGGCCATTTTCCAGGTCCACCTCCCCAAACTTTGTGCCTTTCCAGATGTGATGGAGTACAGCATTCTTCAGCCCTAGTTGGCAGGACCCATGGAGACCTTGGGGGCTCCAATCAAGGCATGTAGTGAGCTACAGTTTCCAGCATCCCCAGCCATCATCCATTGCAGGACCTTGGGGGCTGCTCAACAAGTGTCCACCATTTGGGGTTGTATTCTGCTCTTCTTTGGTGCAAGGGATTGTCTGCCAAAGAATGCAGCAAACCCTGAAAATGCTGGGTTTGGCCAACCTTCATTGTAGAGGAGAAGAGGAAAGGTCAGAGAAACATAGAAGAGCAGAGCTGGAAGGGGCCGGGAAGACCATCTAGTCCAACCTGTTGCAGGACACACATTACAGCATCCCACTCAGAGGGCTGCCCAGTTTCTCCTTGAATACGTCCAGTGTGGGAGAGCCGCCCACCACCTTTCCAGGCAGCCAACACTGTTGTGTTGTTCTGACAGTGAGGAAGCTTTTCCTGATGTCCAGCCTGAATCTGGGTTGTTGCAGCTTGAACGGATTATTCCGTGTCACGTCAACACGTAACAGTGAACACGTAAGAGGTTCTGGGCTCCATTGATGGGTCCTTGTACTTTAAAGCAGTTACAAAGATTACGAATGCGGCTTGCTAAGGGCTAAATTCCCTGTCTTGCAGCTGGCCGTTTCCAAGTAAGATTAATCAAAGCGACAGGATGTCATCCAGTCCTTTCCATCTGTCCCACCACTCCTGGCATCTGTTTTAACTCCTTTTTGCTGGAATGGTCTTCTCCAACCTGGCCTTCTCCATCTGTGTTAACTACCAATTCCATTATTCTCAAACATGATGGCTGATGGGAGTTGTAATCTGAAAATCTGGTTGGCTCCATTAAAGGAAAAAAAGATCCAGGTAAAAAGAAGGACCC